ATAGGAGCGGCGGGGCTGCGTCCCCGGCACCCGGCCGCCCGCATGGCTAGCTTATGCCCAAAATAATTACACGGAAACTGTATTCTTTCAAACACTGCCTGGCCCGGCTAGTTCCAGCTTCTTATTGGCTAGCTCTTACATATTGTTCTAACCCATTTCTAATATTCTGTGTAGCCCACAAGCTGGCTTACCAGGGAGGATCTTAACCTGCGTCTGTCTGGAGCGGGAGCATCATGGCGACTTCTTCACTAAGCTTCTTTTTCCCAGCATTCTCTTCTGTTTACTCCGCCTACCTAATTTTCTGTCCTATGAGGGCCGAGGCAGTTTCTTTATTATTACAAGACCCACCTCCATCAGAGTTTGTCTTTTGGGTGCTTCGAATCAGGTAAACATTGCCCAAGTGAATGGGTTCTTGGGTATTTATAATTGTGTCCGACTTTGAAGCACCCATGTTTTTTGAGTAGTGTTTATCTCCTGGTTCTGCTGCTAGACTAGAGTAGCCTTGTACCATCAAGCCCTGGTTCTTCCCTCTCGTGGGTGTTGGGAATCAAGTCCTCTCCCTGTTTGTAGAGTAGTCCTCATGTTCTTACTCTGGTCTCATGTTGCAGCTCTACCAATATGCTACAGTGCAGACAACAACCAGAAACTCTCTTCTGAGGGATGTAATTGCTGCTTATCAAAGGTTCTGTTCCCGACCTCCCAAAGGTAAGTGCTTTCGTCTGACTCAGTGCCCTGTGTTCTTGTTGAAGGACATGCCCTGGGAGGGTTGGCTTCAGGATGACTAGCTGTTGTCCTCTGTATCTACACCCTGACTTCAGCTTCTGGCTAATGGTAGTGGGGAAATATGTCACCTACAAGTGAATGTCTTGCAGGTGATGAAATTGACACCTCTGGGTTGTGAACTGTATTATTTAGACTGTGATGTATTGCTATACAAGAAATGTTATGATTTCTAATGTTTTGTCAGCAGCTTTATAAACCGTATGTGTAAAACCTGATGAATTTTAGTGTGAAAATATTTTATTATCTTTTCTAACAGGATTTGAAAAATACTTTCCTAATGGAAAAAATGGAAAAAAGGCTACCGAACCTAAGGAAGCTGCTGGAGAAAAAAAAGGTAGTTTTTAAAAAGTTTAGTTTTATTACTTTCCAATGATATTTCTACCAGAGAAAAGAGTCACCAGATGTTGACTGTGTTAGAAGTACTAACTGTAGATACACACACTTAAAGTTCAGTGGTCCCTGCTTTATTCCTTGATTCCCTTTTTATATCTCCCTGTCATTTTACACAGTAAATAGTTCAGAGTCATCTTGGAGAGATGACCACACTAAATCTATTTGTAGGTATCCCTAACATGTAATTAAACTGTTGAGAAAAATCTTAGAAACCTGACACATGCAGTTTATTTGATGTTTACTATGGGGTAGCACAGACTGTTCTTTTTTAAAAAAATATTTATTTATTTATTATGTATACAATATTCTGTCTGTGTGTATGCCTGCAAGCCAGAAGAGGGCACCAGACCTCATTACAGATAGTTGTGAGCCACCGTGTGGTTGCTGGGAATTGAACTCAGGACCTTTGGAAGAGCAGGCAATGCGCTTAACTGCTGAGCTATCTCTCCAGCCCCGACTGTTCTATTTTTTAAAGATTTATTTTAAATTGTGTGTGTGTGTGTGCGCGCATGCATGTGCACATGCTTGTATGTACATCATATATATGTGATGTGCAGGTTACAGATGGTTGTGAGCTGCCTGATGGGGATCAATGTGCATCCTCTGGAAGACTGGGAAGTACGCTTTAACCATTGAACCATGTCTCTGGTTCCATAGGGCAGTGTTCCTAGATTTTTAAAATAAAAATTTAAATTAAAAAAAATTTAAATCCTGAACCTTAAGAGAGTCCTGTCTACTGATTTTTTTTTTTTTTTCAGACAGGGTTTCTTTTTGTGTAGCCCTGGCTGTTCTGAAATTCACTCTGTAGACCAGGCTGGTCTTGAGCTTACAGAGATCTGCCTATTCTGCCTCCTGAGTATTGAGATTAAAGGCATGTGTCATCCCTTCCCAGCCTACAGAGAGTTTTTTTTAAGACAGGTGGGCAGATCTTGTGGCACCAAGTCTTCTGTTTCCAATTCATAAGTATTGTGCCGTTTAACACAATGTCAGTGTTTGACATCTGTTAGCATTCAGCTGGCATCCCTTTCGGGGAAAATATAAGTCAGACCTTTGGTCTTTTATTATTGATGGTTCTGGACATTGAACCCAGGTCCTCACCTATGCTGAGCAGATCTACTGGAGACGGCTGGACATCTCCAGGCCAGCCCCTGTTTCTAAAGCTCGCCCAGACTCCAGGCTCTGGGAGGCAGTGTTGGTTACATGGGCAGCACAGAGGACAAACCAGAGGCATAGCGCAGCAGTTGGCAGGCACACCAGTGGTAAGGGATCTGCAATATGAATACCTCGTCTCAGAGTACTTAGGAATATTGTCACCCAACTTGATTGTGCCAACTCTGTCTTAGTGCTGTGCCTTGTTGGGTGGCCTGAGCTAGTTAGTGTATGTCACATCTGCCTCTGTGCAGGTAATAGCTTAGTGAGTGTGTCATGAAGCCACTGAGGGTGACAGGCACTGCTCCATGAGAGAGGTTGTGCCAGGGTAGTTGGTGACATTAGAATGGTACTTGTAGGTCATTGGGAAGAAAGTGAAATGACAGAAGACAGGGAGATGACAACGACTGCATTGATTTCATTTGGGCTGCCTTGACAAAGGGTCAGATCTTTGGGGAGGAGGGCTTACATAACAAACTGGTCGCCTTAAGTTCTGGGGCCACCACACCTGGTTTTATGTGGTGCTGGGGCCTAAACCCCTTTATGTACATGTTAGACCAGCACTGCCAACTATGTTACACTCTAGCCCTGCACACACTTTTTAACTTTGATGAGGTCTCAAGAATTTGCTTGCTTGGGTTTAAACCTGCCCCTTTTGTTCATATGTTCACATGGCAACATATTACCCAACAAATTTCTTAAGCTCAGGGTTTCCTGCTAAAATGGATGTAATAGTAGCAATCTTCTGGGGTTATTGGGTTACTCTGTATGTTTTCGGAGGTCATGGTAGGAGGTGCTTTGGAGCCTCTTAACTGTTGCCTCTTTGTATGAATGTTTTCCTCATAATGTTTTATGCAGTGACTGAAGCGTTGGCCAGTCAGTCACTTCCTTAGGTCCTCAGTCTGGTGTGGAGCTGTGCATGCCTTACTGACATGCGGTGGGTGTTGCATGCTGGACATGCTGCTCTCTGTTTATGACAGACTCACAACCAGCGGCTCCCAAGTCTTCCGGAGGTGCAGGTGATGGGGGAGGGAAACGCCGTGGCAAGAAAGAAGATTCTCAATGGTGGTCCAGGTTCCAGAAGGTTTGATTTCAAACTGTTGGCTTTGAGGTTGGGTTGGTGGCCCCAAGGAAAGCCCACATAGCACAGATCATATTTACTCACAGAAACTGTGTCCCTCTTGTCTAGGGTGACCTTCCATGGGATGACAAGAATTTCAGGATGTACTTTTTCTGGACTGCTTTCTTTTGGGGTGGAATCATGATTTACTTCCTGTTCAGGAGTTCTGGGAGAGAAATCACATGGAAGGACTTTGTCAATAACTACCTTTCTAAAGGCGTGGTAAGTAATGTATGGGGGCCATAGTTCTCAAGGTGGAATGCAGTTGTATTAGACCACAGAGTGGTCAGCACTTACATAGCTAGCCACACTTGGCCATCATAAAATCACTTTGCATACTGATATTTTTCTTGAAAGCTTTAATAAATTTATGTTTATTTATTTGTTTGTTGACAGAGGTTTCTGTCCCGTCCAGTCTTATAGCCATTCAGTCCCAAAGAAACACACAGAGGTCTATATTAGTTGTAAACTGGTTGGCCTATTAGTTCAGGCTTCTTATTGACTCTTACATCCTACAATAACCCATAATTCTTGACTGTGTTAGCCATGTGGCTTGGTACCTTTTATCAGTGAGGTATTCTCATCTTGCATCCTATGTGTCTGGGTAACAACTGCAGACTGACTCTTTCCTCTTCCCAGAATTCTCCTGTTCTCATCGCCCCACCTCTATTTCCTGCCTGGCTATTGGTTAATCAGCGATTCATTAAAAGACCATTGTCCCACAGCATCCCCCTCCCCTTTTTTTCCCAAAACAAGAACTCTGACTCTAATCTCCTTTGTTTAGCTTTTTTTTCCCAGACCATTATCCATAACAACTTGTAAACTCTGACCACATGAGTCTTTAATTTGCTAAGCAATATGGCTAGGATTAGAGCTGTGACTTTGACGGCTGGATCCACTCAACTCCTTAGATTTCTGAGCCTCATGATGGAGGTACTGGCCAGAGCCATGTTTATTGCCACAACTCTTTGACGTTTCAAAGTCCCTGCCACCATGTCACCAAGAAACATGTCAGCTATTCATCAACACCATTTAAGTGTTTGCTGGCAGGTCTTCTTAAAACAGCTACAAGGTTTTTGCAGCTAAAACTGAGTCAAGAAGACACACTTGCCTCTAGCAAACAGAGCCCCCTTGAGAAAATGCTGCTATCAAGAAGCCTTTCTTAGCTCTGTTCTTTTGTGTCTAGAATTACTTCCTAGGCTCTCTCAGGTTTTATGTGGATACAGTTGTCCATGTTGGTGCCGTTTTGTTATAGGAGGTTTCTGTCCCATCAGGTCCCTCAGTGATTTAATTAATGCAGTCTGTGTGGTTATTTCGAGTTTGGGCAGCCGGGACCGAACAAGTGGCCTCCTACAACATTTGTTTGTTTATTTGTTTTTGGTTTTTGGTTTTTCTGAGATAGGATTTCTCTGGTGTAACTCTGACTGTCCTGAAACTCACTCTGTAGACCAGGTTGTCCTCAAACTAATAGAAATCCACCTGCCTCTGCTTCCCAAGTGCTGAATCAAAGGTGTGTGCCGCTGCTTATTAGTTTTGTTTTAGTCTTATTTTGTGTTCCTCTGTGTGTGTGTGTGCATGTGTACAGATCAGAGGACAACTTGTAGGAATTAGTTTTTTCCTTCTACTCTGTAGATTCCAGGGATCAAACTCAGGTTGCTGGCTTGGAAGAAAGCGCCTTTACTTACTGAGCCATCTCACTACTCCCTTGGTTTGGCAGGTAGGAGGCGTTAACATTTCCTTATATAGCCTTGGCTAACTTGGAACTTGCTATGTAGGCTAGGCTGGTCTCAAATTTATAGTAATCCTCCATCCTTTACCTCTGCCTCGCAAGTGCTGAAATTAAGGGTATGTACTGTATAAAGTGACAACATGACCCTCCAGGGTATGGTTGGGAAGATTTTTATTGTAGATGAGGGAGACTACAGCCAGAGGTATCTAGATGAGTTTGGAGTGGGGAGAGAGTGTAGTAGATTGAACCTCTCCTACCTCTCCCACCATTGGCCAATGGACTGGAAATGGTCATGAAAAGAGAGATGGGACAGAGCAAGAGAGGAAGACAAGGTGCAGAGGAGGGAGAAGGGAGCATGAGAGGAAGAAAGAGCATGGCCTAAATAACAGGGTTATCTGGGGGAAGCCCAGAAACTGGAGATGGGGTGGGGGTGAGCTTAGTAGAGGGGTGGTTGAATAAGTCATGGCTAACTCAAAGAGAGACTTGTACTGAGGAAGCTTTGAGGCCAGCATGTGCTTTGATATGCTAATATTACAGGTAGCCATTTGTCCCTTCTTTCAGGGATGAGGAAATGGCTTCTTTGGTATAGGGAAATGGGTGGGCGCCAGAATTTGGGGGAGTGGTTTCCTTTGAATCTGACAATGTACCACCCTGCCCAGTGGTGCTGCTGGCTGCTGTGTGGTGACTTTTTTTTTCCAGCTTTTGGGGTAGTATTTCCAGGGTTTTCTAGATTGTGTCATCATTTAGGATATTAGGCACGTGAAGCGTATCCTTTTGAATACTTTAGTGATAAACTCAGTAACCAGTAATGAGTTGGTGTTTCGATAAGGGTAAAAAACACTTTCTGCAAACCCAGATTTGAATTCTCCACTTCTTTCTCCCTATGTCTTTTTCATCTTCTGTTACCTGCCTGTTATATGAGTCAGAATGTGGTCTGCGTAAAGGTCCTCTTGTGAAGTCTGTGTGTATCTCCAACAAAGGGTTTTGCTCTTCTATTAAAGAGCACAGGAAATACCACGTGGGGAGGAATGAGGGGCACTTTACAGAAGTTTTTTTTTTTTTTATCAAGGGATGAGGATCCTAGCTATCCCAGATAACATGAACAAGTGCTCCCAAGCAATATCTGTATGTTGCCTCCAACATTATTTATTGGTGGATATTTGTTAGATAAGGTTGTTTCCAATCTACTTAGGACTTTCTTTTTCTTTTTTTTTAAAGATTTATTTATTTATTTATTAAGCGTACAATGTACTACTGGCAAGGAAGGCACCAGGTCTCATTAAAGATGGTTGTGAGCCACCATGTTTTTGCTAGGAATTGAACTGGGGACCTCTGGAAGAGCAGCCAGTGTTCTTACCCTCTGAGCCATCTCTCCAGCCCCTCTACTTAGGATTTTCAACATTTATTACCATAACCACATACACCTTTTGCATTACTCTGGGTCATGGAGGAGTATATATCTTAAGGTCACATTTATTCATTAGTTTAGGTTGTAAAAGCTGATTAGATGGGAAATCCAAGGCAATTAAGATTGTTCTCTTAATGAAGGTTAAACAAGCTGAATATATAGTAGAAACGCAGTCTTAAGTGACCTCAGGGTGTCTTGTTAACTTGGTGATGGGCTCTAGCCACCTATCCCTCCCTCCCTCCCTCCCTCCCTCCCTCCCTCCCTCACCATCTCTTTCCCTGTCCCCTACTCCTCTGATTTTTGTTTGAGACAGGGTTTTTCTGTGTAACCTTAGCTGTCCTGGAACTCACTCTGATAGAGTTTGCCTCAGCTACCTGAGTGCTGGGACTAAAGGCGTGCACCACCATACCTGGCAGGTAGCCTGTGTCTCTTTGCTGATGAATTCAGGTAATTTATGTATGAAGTCATTATAGAGAGATGCTTACTAAATTCTGGTGATTTTTTTTTTTCCTGGTTGGTTGGATTGTTTGCTCTTTTCTTCTCTGTAGGGTCAAGGGTAGTGTCAGGGTTTGCTGGCTTACTATGGAGGACATGGTGGATGCTTTCCTTGTTCTCCTGTTGAGCCATTCCTGTCCCAAAATTTAATGTTCCTGTACTAGTGTGATTATGTTTTCTTTCTTCCTCTTCTGTGTGTAATATTCCTGTAAGTATCTTTTGCAGTGCCAGTTTGTGGTCATGAACTGCTTTCGTTTCTGCTTGTCTTGAAATGTGCTTATTTCTTTTGTCAGTTTCACAAAATAACTACAGAATATAAGCTTTGCTTGAAATAGACCATTTCATGTTTTTCTGGCCTTTAGAGTTGTTGATGAGAGATCTGACATCATTCTCATGTTTTGCCTTTGTAGATGAATTGACCTTTCCCCCGATAGCATTATTTATTATTGTTTCTTGGCTTTGTAGTTTTGACTTGTTGGCCATAATAGGTAATATGTTACAGAGTTTATTCTCAGTGTGTATTTGGGGTTCTAGATGCTTCTTATGTTTGAATCTATTTCTTTCTCTAAATTTTGCCATTATTTCTTTGAGTAGTTTCTCTGTACCCTCATTGTTTATCTGAGCTCCTTATACTATATGGCTTGTTAGACTGATTGTCATCCAGAGTTTTGGGTATAGTAGTCATGCTCATTTTGTTACTATATATTCCTTATTGTTATTTTTTTTTAAAGATATATTTATTTATTATGTATACAACTTTCTGCCTCCATGTATACCCAAACGCCAGAGGGGGACGCCAGATCTCATTACAGATGGTTTGGAGCTACCATGTGATTGCTGGGAATTGAATTCAGGACCTCTGGAAGAGCAGACAGCGCTCTTAACCACTGAGCCATCTCTCCAGCCCCCTTATTGTTATTTTTTTTTTTAATATTTATTTATTATTTATACAGTTAGCCAGAAGAGGGTATCAGACCTCATTATAGATGGTTGTGGGCCACCATGTGGTTGCTGGGAATTGAACTCAGGACCTTTGGAAGAGCAGGCAATGCTCTTAACCGCTGAGCCATCTCTCCAGCCCTATTGTTATTTTTTTAAAAGATTTATTTATTATGTATGCAGTGTTCTGTCTGCATGTATGCCTGCAGGCCAGTAGAGGGCACCAGCTCATTTAAGATGGTTGTGAGCCATTATGTAGTTGCTGGGAATTGAACTCAGGACCTCTGGAAGAACAGCCAGTGCTCTTAATGACTGTGCCATATCTCCAGCCCTCACTTTTTTTTTTTTTTTTTTTTTTTTTTTTGAGAGGAGACACACTGACCTTAAATTTCCCAAGTAGTTTTAGCCTTTCCTTTCTAGACAGAGCAGTTACCCCTTTGTTCCAGTTTCTCTGGACTTATTCTCAGCGTCCTTACTTTCGGTTTGTCCTTGTCAAACTTACTGAAAAGCAGATCATAAGAAATGAACATGCCTTAGAGGATTCATGCTGTCCCTGTCCTTCAGATGTGGTATTCCAAGAGTCTTAATAGAAGTGAGGAGGAAAGAATGCCATTAAGAATCAGATACAGGGCTGACAAGATGGCTCAGTGGCTAAAACACTTTGAAACTTGGTGACCTGACTTTAATCCAAGGAACCCACATAAGGTGGAAGGAGAGGCTGGTCATCACAAAGTGACCTCTGACCTCTGTATGCTTACTGTGGCATGTGAATGTCTCACCCATACCTCCCCTCTCTTTATCTGTCACATACAAAAATAATAGTAATAATAATAAGAATTTTTTAAATCAGATATAGTTAGGAGGTTAAAGAAAGCAAGTATATACTATATGATAGTCAGGGAATAGAAAAAAGAATCTTAAAACACCAAGTGTTAGAGATGAAAGCAGTCAGAATCATTGACTAAGAAGAGTGAAAATTGGAGAGCCCTTGTGGGGAGCAGTTTGACATATCTAGTACAGTTGAAGGGCTGTATGCTCTGCAGCTCGTCCTTAGTGTAACTGTTTATAGATTGTGTATTCCGGAAGGACGTTTGAAGACATAGTCCAGAAGTTATCTACGGGGAGTTCATTGCAGCATTTGGTAAGGCTGTGTATGACTTGAAACAGCCTGTTAGAGAGCATGAAGGTAATTTGGGAGTGTGCTTATCAAATGTAAGACTCCACAGAATTAAAGTGCCAATGTATGTAAATCTTGCACATGTAATTATAGTGATATTTTATTTCTGTTTTAATAAATAAAGCTTCTCTGAAGATCAGAGGGCAAAACTAAGCCACACTAGGGGCCAGGCAGTGATGGCAAACACCTTTAATCCCAGGATTTGGGAGACAGAGGCAGACAGATCACTGTGAGTTCAAGGCTACCCTGGAATACACAAGATAGATCCAGGTGATGATGGTTCACACCTTTAATCCCAGTGTTTGGGAGTCATACACCTTTAATTCCATCACTAGGGAAATAAAGACAGGAATGACTTGACTGGGTGGAGAGAGGAATATAAAGGGGAAGAGACAGGAACCACCCAGTGAAGTGTGGAGTCTGAGGATTCCTAAAAGAAGGTATCTCACCCTTTTGGTCTGAAGATTTGGTAGAAGTAGAAGGTCTCTGTAGTGGTTTGCTGCTTTGTTTTTCTGAACTTCAGGTTGAACCCCAGTATCTGTCTCTTGGTTTTTATTATTTGTGCTACATGTAATGGTGGGGAGGAAAAAGAAAGGTCAATAAAAACAACCATTTAAAAAGCTTGAAAGCACCTGGCGTGGTGTTGCACACCTTTAATCCCAGCACTCAAGAGGCAAAGGCAGGTGGATCTCTGTGAGTTTAAGGCCAACCTGGTCTACAGAGCAAATTCCAGGCAGCTAGGACTGTTAAACAGAGAAACTCTGTCTTGAAAAACTATCAAAACAAAAGAAATCATGTTTTTTGAAAAATACTTACTTATTTTTATATGTATTTATGAGTGTCTGCATTTACATGTGCACTGTGTGTGTACTTGGTGCCCACAGAAGTCAGAAGAGGTGTCACATGCCCTGTGACTGGAGTTCAGGTGGTTGCTATCTACTGTGTGGATTCTAGGGATGGACTCCAGATCCTGTGCAAAAGCCACGAGTGTTCTTCGTCACTGAGCCCTGTCTCCATCTACTCCTCATCCCCTGTGCCTTGTTTTGATACAGTAGTCTTGGCTGACCTGGAACTTATATGGTCTGACTCTTCCTTCTGAGAGCTAGGATTAAAAGCATACATCACTATGCCCAACGTGAAAATCAGAATATAATAACAACTCAAGTATTTTCTGTAAACTTATGTTTATATATTTGCCTTTTTAACATTCTAGGTGGACAGACTAGAAGTTGTCAACAAGCGATTTGTTCGTGTGACCTTCACACCAGGAAAAACTCCGGTTGATGGGGTAAGTAATTTTATAAATTGATGTGAGTTAGGAAATGAATCTTTTTCAGGTTTAGAACTGACAAGAAACCATCCCTTGCATTACATAGATATGTACAGTGGGAGAGTGGGATCCGGTGTGCCACAGGGGTGACACTCGGACATCAGCTGATATGTGCACATGCTGAAGCGTGGAGTGCTTCAGTGTTGGCTTGTTTTTTTTTTTAAGATTTATTTATTTATTTATTTATTTATTTATTTATTTATTTATTTATTTATTATGTGCACAGTGTTCAGCCTCCATGTATGCCTGCAGGCCATAAGAGAGCACCAGATCTCATTACAGATGGTTGTGAGTCACCATGTGGTTGCTGGGAATTGAACTCAGAACCTTTGGAAGAGCAGTTAGTGCTCTTAACCTCTGAGCCATCTCTCCAGCCCAGGGTTGGTTTTGGTAATCATTTTAGTTTCACACCTAGGACACAATGAAGAAGTGCTCAGTTCTCAGCATTCCAAAATAATCTATGATTTTTATTTATTTATTTATTTATTTATTTATTTATTTATTTATTTATTTATTTATTTATTTATTTTTGTAGTTTGAGAGAGGGTTTCTATGTAGCTTTGGTTCCTGTCCTGGAACTAGCTCTTGTAGACCAGGCTGGCCTCGAACTCACAAAGATCAGCCTGCTTCTGCCTCCCGAGTGCACCACCCCGTCCGGCAATGATTTTTGAAGACATTTGATTGGGAAAAATTTCAAATTTGAATTTCATGTGTTTTGAGGTAGTGTCTTTGAAATCAGTTTAGGATTTTTTCTGTTCGTCAGTCTTCAACCTTTTTGTGATATTTATCTGTTTTCCTATTTTTTGCTTCTTTACTTTTGAAATGGGGTCTTACTCTGTAACCCAGACTGCCCTTGAACTCATGGCCATGTTCATGCTTCAGTCCCTACAAGTGTGCAGGCATAACCAGTACACCTGGCTGTGCTGATCTGAAAATAATCTATATTCCGGTCCACCTAGTCCGGACTCTTATCTAGAGACACAGCAGAAGTGTCAGGTGCACAGCGATTATAAAGGGGGGGGGCTCCCTGCTCTGCCCCTACCCTATGTCTAGTCCTGGGTATCTGCGGTCCTGTTGTCCTCTGCCCACTTTCTAGACTCGCTCGGCACCCACTTCTGGAGAGCATCCTCCCCTAACTGTCAGTTTCCTCTGTTAGTGCTGTCTGTGGTACTGTTTCTAAAGGATAACTTTGATAAAGGAGAGGTCTTGTTTTCTAGGATTGGCATTTAATCTAAAATTTATAGCATTGCATTATTTTTATTTCTCCATTGTGCCACAGTAAACATTTATAACTCAAGGTTATATGCTTTGTTTGGGTGTTGATATTAGGGACTGACCCTAGAGTCCTATAGGTTAACAAGTACTTTACCACTGAACTATATCCCCAGTCCTGCATCTTAAGACTGTAGTCTGTCTGGTGTGGACAGCTGCAATCCCAATGCTTGAATCGGGTTCAGGGTCCTTCTTGGCTACACTGAGTATGTGTGGACTTTCCCCAGTTCTGTTCCTTAACCAGTAAAGCATAATAACACTCACGTCACCTAGAGTTCAAGTAGGTAGGATGTAGTCTTTTTAAGATATGTCCCACTTTGTAGAAGTCTCAGGTTTTGATCTCAGATTTTCCTGGGATTTGGAACCATTTTCCTATGGACCTGATTTGGGGGGGAGGGTCATTATTTTTGTGCTATTTTATAGAATAGCTATCTCCCCTAGGTTCTTCAGGTCTACCCCACCCCAGGAATCCCCCAGCCTTCAGTATTAGAAGGGTAATGCCCAGCACAGCATTCATGGTACTTTTTTACTGGCCAAGTTTGATTATCACTGTCGTCCTGATCCCACTTCTTATCAGGATCCTCAAGGGCGAATGAGTTAATGTATATTTAAGGGCTCAGCAAGGCCTTATGCAGAGTGTGCATAGCTAACTTGAGCTGTTACTGTTGTATCCCATGGTGTTTGGAGATAGGCTCTGGGAAATGGGCAAGGAGAAAAGAGTCTTGTTCATCTTCAGAAAGCAGTTTTTCTTCTTAATGCTTTTCTTTTAAAAAAAAAGTTTATTTTGAGATTTTATCTTTATTTTATGTGTATGGATATTTTACACTGAATGTCTGTGTGCCACATACATGCAGTGTTTATAGAGACCAGAAGAGGATGTTGGATCCTCTTGGCCAGTTGTTAGAGTTGTTAGCTGATATATGGGTGCTGGAAATTGAACTTGGGTCTTTAGAAAGAGCATCAGTGCCTCTAACATGGAGCCGTCTCTAATCCCAGTGCTGTTCTTTGAGTTTATAAGTTTCAAGCCACTGAGGAATATTGCTAAGGAAATATTTACTTGCCAAGGATTGCCATGTGTTTTCACCAAGTTTAAAAAACAAAACAAAATAAAACATGTCTTTAAAATCAGGTTTTTATTATTTTTTTTATAGATAAATCTTCAGTGTTTATGATTTTTTTTAAAGACAGGGTCTCTGTATGTAGCTCTGGAAGTCTTGGAACTCCTTTGTAGACCATGCTGACCAGTGCTGGAATTAAAGGAATGCACCACCAGTGCCCAACTCTGAAAAATTCTTAATGGGCTAAATGCTTTAGAAAATTCAGAGTTTTGTTTGTTCTTTATTCTAAGGATATTTCTTTTTCTGTTTTTATAGACATTTGTCTGGTTTAACATTGGCAGTGTAGACACCTTTGAGCGGAACCTGGAGACTTTGCAGCAAGAATTGGGCATAGAAGGGGAGAACCGGGTACCTGTGGTCTATATTACTGAAAGTGATGGGTAAGAAATCATTTTAAGTACATGCTTTGTGACAGACATGGTACACATTCCTATAATCTTAGAGATTGGGAGACTGAGGCAAGAAGATTGACAGGAATTTGAGGCCAGCTTCGGGTACATAGAAAGACCTTGCCTCAGAAAGCTTGAAAGATAAATAAATAATAGAAAAACAGATTTGAGTACAAGTGCTATTCATAGTTCACTATCTTTTTGTCACCAAGTGACAGGTTACAAAGTTAATCTTTATTTTTAAGTTTTTTGTCCTATGTGTACACCTGCACACTGGAAGAAGGCATCAGATCCTGTTATAAATGGTTGTAAACGACAACCATGTGGTTGTCGGGAGTTTAACTTGGGACCTCAGAAGAACAGCCAGTGCTTTTAACTGCTGAGCTGTCTCTCCAACCCCCATAAATTAAAGTCTTAAGCAAGTCTTGGTCTGTTTGACCATATTAAAAAATAAATCTGTAGTAATTTAGTTTTTGCACGTGACTACCTTCTTTTCTACACAACTGTTTAGAGTGTTATGGCCCCGCATGCTATTCTTGAAGGGTTTTTGCATGAAGAGCCCCGTGTCATTTACCTTTATAGTTAATAGTTTTCCAGGATTTAAGAAATTCTTCCAGGCTAGAGAGATGGCTCAGTGATTAAGAGCACAGACTGCTCTTCCAGAGGACTTGGGTTCAATTCTCAGCACCCACATGTAGCTCACAATTATCTGTAATTCTAGTCCCAGGGGATTCAGTGCCAACTTCTGACCGCTTTGAGCACAAGTCATGCAATGGTGCACAGACATCTGTGCAGACAAAATATTTATAGGGTTTCTCTGTAACTTTGAAGCTTGTCCTCGAACTTGATGTGTAGACCAGGCTGGCCTCAAACTCATAGGGATCCACTTGTCTCTGCCTCTCAAGTGCTGGGATTACAGGCGTGCGCCACCACTGCCCAGCTACCCCTAGATTTTTTTTTTAACAGTGTTTAAAACTATATAAAAATTTACCAAATTTGTACTTAAAAGTTACATTGGATAAAGGTTATTAAGACAAAAGATAGACTACATCCCTAGGCTTTGAGGCACCCATGCAGGCTCCATATTGCAGAGGTTCTGCTAGAAGAGAGCCTTAAGTCTGTTAAACAAGAGAGGCCTGTGGCGCTCAGGGCAGAGACATTAGACATTGTATGCATTACTTTCCAAACTGTCATGCTGTTAAATGAAGGCGTTTCCTGAGGTTGAGGCCTCCCGGTACGAGAACTGGAGTCTGAGACTAACACCAGGTTAGGCTAAACATTTAAGTGAGTGATTGGAAAGAAAAACTTGGTAGTAGCTAGATGATAATACAATATAAAGAGCATACATATTGAGACAAAGTTCCTTTTTGTTATTCCATGACTTTACTTTAATGATATAAATATGCCAAGAGTCTTCTATATCTCAGACAAACTAGAATATTTCGAAATATTAGTTTTTTGAAAATACTGGATTTTTAAAAGTTTTATCGATTGCCCTGATGTCTGAGGCAGTTGGGAAACTTGCCACCCCTCTTACCAGCTGCACTGTTGTCTTCTCCTCTAGTTCCTTCCTGCTGAGCATGTTGCCCACGGTGCTCATTATCGCTTTTCTACTCTACACCATAAGAAGAGGGCCTGCTGGCATTGGTCGGACTGGCCGAGGAATGGGTGGACTCTTCAGTGTTGGGGAAACCACGGCAAAGGTCTTAAAGGATGAGATAGATGTGAAGTTCAAAGATGTGGCTGGCTGTGAGGAGGCCAAGCTAGAGATAATGGAATTTGTGAATTTCCTGAAAAACCCAAAGCAGTATCAAGATTTAGGAGCAAAAATCCCAAAGGTAAAAAGATACTTGGAGAGGATTAACTCCAAAACTTGTGTGTCTCTGAAGCTGTCACCTCGTTACTTATTTAATTAGTCATTCTTCTTTCTGATTTTGTTTCTGTCTAATTCAGTTCTGTAGCCTGTTTTCTGTATCTCATTCTATCGATTTTGTGTATTTCTGAAAGCGTTTGGTTTTTTCCTCCTCATGGAAGCCTTTTTTGCCTTTGTTCTCCCTCTAGTCTGATTTAGATACCCTCCCACCCCATCCCTTGTCAGCTGTAGCCCCTGCTAGCATTTTCGTACTGCAGTGGCCAGCCTTTTCTTCCACACAGTGCTGGGCCATCTGCTTGCACCTGATACTGAGGTCTTGGTACAGCATTGTCGAAGGAGAGACAACACTAATGTTCACTTTCAGCACCTGCCTCATAACTGCTGTGCTAGGGCTCTTGTACCACAGCGGCTTTGCAGCCTTCTAGGCATAAAGTAGCAACTTGCTGTTTGTTAAATGGATTGCTTATGGGTGGGGGTCCTGAGGGTTGAACATGTTTGCTAGCACAAGGGTCTTGTGCATGCTAGTCAAACACTCTATCGCTGAGCAATAGATATTCCTACATCAGCCTTTCAAGGAGTTAGGATTACAAATATGTGCTACAAGGCCCAGCTTGGATTAGCTGTTAAGTGGATAAAATAATTCATTAATAAAGCTTACTTTAAAGAAATGCTTAGGGGCTGAAGAGTTGGCTCATTCAAATATTTTCTGTTTTTTGAGAAGACTGGAGTTTGGTTGCTAGCACCTATATCAGGTGAGTAGCTCCAGCTCCAGGGAACCCAGTGGCTTCTGGTTTCTGTAGGCACTTGCATACATGTAGCACACACACACATACATACATACATACATACAGATAAATGTTTCATAAAAGAAATGCCTTTGTTTGTTTTGTAGATAGGTTCTTACCATGTATCCCTTGTTGGCCTGGGACTTGATGTGTAGACCAGGATGGCTCAAACTCACAGAGATCTGTTTGCCTCTCATGGTGGCATTAAAGGAGTGTGCCACCATACTTGGTCTGAAAAAAGCTTTGTAAAAGAAATCATTTCTATTATTTTCATGTCCCATCTGTATGGATTAAAAAAAATCATGTTCATGGTAAAATAATTTGCCATTACTTAGTACCATTCACATCATAATTAGGCAGATGAAAATAAACATTTTGTAAAAAGATTTACTTATTACTTGTATAGTATTCTGTCTGCATATATGCATGCATGTTAGAAGAGGACACAAGATCTCATTACAGATAGTTGTGAGCCACCATGTGGCTTTCAGAATTGAACTCAGGACTTCTGGAAGAGCAGCCAGTGCTCTTAACCTCTGAGCCATCTCTTCAGCCCTAAAATAAACAAATTTTAAAAAGTGTTCGAGTGTTGTATTGCAGTCTTGAAATCATGTGTCTTTTGACCATATTATTCATCTCTCCACACACAGTATTTGGAAATAAGAGTCATATGTTTGTTTGTTCATTTATTTATTAGTTTTTCAAGATGGCTTCTCTTTGAATGTCTAGCTGTTCTCATTTTGTAGTCCAGGTTGGCCTTGAACTCAGTGATTCACCTGCCTCTGCCTCCTGAGTGCTGAGATTAAAGGCGTGCACCACCACTGTCTGACATTTTTTTCTCTCCAAGACAGGGTTTCTCTGTGCTTTGGTGCCTGACCTGGAACTCGCTCTGTATTCCAGGCTGGCCTCGAACTCACAGAGATCTACCTGCCTCTACCTCCCCAGTGCTGGGGTTAAAGGCGTGAGCCACCACTGCCTGGTGATTTTTTTTTCTTATTTACTTTGTGTATGTGAATAATTTGCTTGCATGCATGTTTGTGCGCCATGTGGGCCTGTTGGATCCCCTGTAACTGGAGTTACAGATGGTTGTGAGTCATTATGTGGGTGCTGAGTGTTGAACCCATGTCCTTTTCAAGAGCAACAAGTGCTTTTAACCACTGAGGCATCTTTCTGGCACTATGTACATTTTTAAGACAGAACAGTTTCTGATGTATCACTTAGTGGAAAGTCAACAGGGGAGTGAACCCACACATGTTAGGCCCTTTTCTGTCGCTGTGATGAGATACCATGAGTAAGACATTTCATAGAAGGGTTTATTTGGGCTCACATCTTGAACGACAAGCACAAAGCAGAGAGCAAACCAGTAAAGCTGCAGGTCTTTAAACTCTAAAGCACATCTGCAGTAATGCAGTTCTTCTGCAAGACCACACCTCCTCATCCTCTGCAACAGTGCTGTTAGCTGGGGACCACAACTTCAAGTACCCATTCTCATTTCTCATTCCAGCTACCACAGTACAGTTAGGCTTTAGGTAGACGTGAATCTATGCAAAATAGTTACTGACTTGTACATTTTCATGAAAGTAAAAGCCAGTGTTTATGTTTATTAATTACATGGATTCAAAAACCAGTTTTACATTTTTTAAGATTGATTTATTTATTTATTTATTTATTTATTTATTATGTACACAGTGTTCTGCCTGCATGTACATCTGCAGGTCAGAAGAGGGCGCCAGATCTCATTACAGACTGTTGTGAGCCACCATGTGGTTGTTGGAAATTGAACTCAGGACCTCCGGAAGAGCTGTCAGTGCTCTTAACCTCTGAGCCATCTCTCCAGCCCCCACCAGTTTTACTTTTAAAGAGCAAAATAATTTTGTAAATTGGGAATGTGGTGTCCATATTTCTTTATGTTTAAGGAACAGTTTATTAGCCTGGCTGCTTTCTTTTCATACTTTTAGGATAAAAGCTTAAAAACCACTAAACCACTAAAGCAGCTGCACTACAGTTCCCAGCCATTAGAACAAACCCACATCCTTGTGGTGTTGGGGATACAGCCCAGTGTATGCATGCTAGCCAAGTCTACCACTGAGCCGCCCATACACACTCGGCACTGAAGATCTTTAAATAGGAAGTGTTTAGATTTCCCCTCGCGTTGTTGGCAGATTAGCCTGAAACAGACCTGTCCCCCTCTGACAGCTCTCGTATCTTCTCTACTGTAAAGACCTCTGCTGTAATGTAAATGTTCCACTTGTCACTAAGATTTAGAGTCAGAGGTACCCTTTGGAATTATGATAGGTGTGCAGTTTCTGTTTTCAAGATTCTGATTAGATGTAATCTCTCTGTGTCTGAAGGGTGCCATTCTCACCGGCCCTCCAGGTACTGGTAAGACGCTGCTAGCTAAGGCCACAGCTGGAGAAGCCAATGTTCCCTTCATCACTGTCAGCGGATCTGAATTTCTGGAGATGTTTGTGGGTGTTGGTCCAGCCAGGGTAAGTCTTGTTCTGTTCTGGTGATGGAACTTGTTTACTACAACCCATTCCCCTGGGTGTGGACTGGTGAGGATGACCCTGTTGCTGGAGTCCCCAGATTGACCTCTCACTGGTCACTTTCAAGGCTATACTAGCAGTGCCTGTGTGATCCCCACCTCCTCAGTACTGTAGTTCATTCTTAAGATAATTTATATATTTTAATAAGTGGCTTTACTTTGTGGATAATTTCTTCTGGCAGGACTTTATTGAGGCATATTTAACAATTGATATGAGAGTCCAGTTAAATGCCTTTTAGATCTGTGCAGTGTTAATACATTTTACTCATTTTAAGAAGAAACCCAGGTCCTTTAGCAATCTCTCCATCCCCTTAGCCCTAGGCAGATTCTAACATCTCTAGATTTCCTGTTTCAGACATTTCAAATAAATGGAATTGTATAATGTATGATCTCTTTTGTTTTGGGCTTTTTGGTTTATATTTTTAAAAAATAAGCTGGGCGTGGTGGTGCATACCTTTAATCTCAGTACTCAGGAGGCATAGGCAGTCAGATCTCTGAGTTGAAGGCCAGCCTGGTCTATAAAGCAAGTTTCAGGACTGCCAAGGTTGTTACACAGAAAAGCCCTGTATTGAAAAATGTTATTTTTATTTTTATGTGTGTGAATGTTTTTCCCGTATGTATGTGTGCCACCATGCTGTTCTGAGGTTAGTCTTGTTAAACTAGTAACATTGACTTGACAAGTAACTCAATCTTTCTGTCAAGGTCCGAGATTTATTTGCCCTTGCGCGGAAGAATGCCCCTTGCATTCTCTTCATTGATGAGATCGATGCTGTGGGAAGGAAGAGAGGTCGAGGCAACTTCGGAGGGCAGAGTGAGCAGGAGAACACGCTCAACCAGCTGCTTGTGGAGATGGACGGTGAGTGTCACAGACATTCTCTAAAGGCTCAGCAGAGGAACAGAGTTCTAGTCCAGCACCCACGGGGTGACTCACAATCCAGTTTCAGGGGACCCAGCGCCCTCTCCTGGTCTCAACAGGCACGCACCTGATGCACATACATGCACCCAGTGTTGTTTTATACCGGTATCTTAACTAGCATCCTGGTGTGGCTGACTGGGAGTTGCAGCTCGCTGCTGTCACCCAGCATAGCTGGAGAGGATCAAGCCAAACAGTGAAAGAGGTCCTGTGAAAGAGGCAGATTCAAAATTTGAAGTGCAGTTTTAACTAATTGTGTACCACTTTCACCCCATCGCTGAGTTAAATCCATGTATACTCCTTAACTAGAAAGTAGCAGTCATTCCATACGGCCAGCTTTTTTGTCAGTTAAGAGGCAGTTTCTGGGGCTGCTGCATCCTTCCTGCTGGGAGGTGTGTGGACAGAGAGGGCTAGAGAGAGAATGACTAGGGTGCTGGAGTGGCTATGGAGGAGTCATTTCTGCTTTTCTGTAACAGCGGGATAACCGCGGTGTGTAGAGTAACAACTGAGTGGGGAGAATACGTGTGTGTGTGTGTGAGTGTGTGTGTGTGTGTGTGTGTGTGAGTGTGTGTGTGTGTGTGTGTGTGTGTGTGTAGGGAGAGAGAGAGACAGAGAGAGAGAATTTATTAGAATGGCTTACAGACTGTGGTCGTTAGTCCAACATGAGACTCTACCAACAGAAAGTCTAAAGCCAGTATGTGTTCAGTCCCTGAGGCTGTCTGTCTCAGCTGGTCTTCAGTACATGGCAGAATCCTGAAGAAGTCGGCTCTGATGCCAGTGAAGGATGGACATGCCAGTGAGAGGGAGGGCAAGCAGGCAGAGAGAAAGCTTCCTTCTTCCGTGCCCTCTGTATAGATATATTCTATCAATCTATGTATTGCTATAAGGGTGTGGCCAACCTGCAAGGTTCCCTTCTGGCATCTTTCTTTGACAGCTGCATGGAATCTCCTTGACTCTGCCTACTCTCTGTATATCTCTGTTCGGATTTCCCTCCTGCCTTTACTAAGCCATTGGCTGAAACAGCTTTATTTATTAGCTAATAAAAGCAACACATAGCCGGGCGGCGGTGGTGGCGCACGCCTTTAATCTCAGCACTCAGGAGGCAGAGGCAGGCGGATCTCTGGGAGTTCGAGGCCAGCCTGGTCTACAAGAGCTAGTTCCGGGACAGGCACCAAAGCTACAGAGAAATCCTGTCTCCAAAAACAAAAACAAACAAAAAACACACACACACATATACAGAAGGACTTCCCACATTAATTAAAAGTGGATCTTCCCACCTTAAAAGATCAGAATTTAATTGAGTGTTCACACTTCAAATGATTTAATTAAGGGGAAAAAACTCTCACAGGTGTACCCAGCCTTTAGGTCTTATTCTAGATATAGTCAAGTTGACAACCAAGAATAGCCATCACAACAGCTGATAATAATTGTTTATTTCAGAGTTGCTACCAGAGCGTTCAGTGTTCCAGCACAGGTCCTAAGTCTCTGAGTGATTGATGGATGCCCAGTTGTCCTGTTCTCATGTTTCAGAGTCATATTGTCCTCATTTATGCATACAAGTGTGTTTTAGCTAAAATAAGTATTTTTAAAAATATGAGTAAATAGTAGCAAAATCTTTAATATGTTAACTAAGAATAAGGTGACTAATGAGAAAAATGATTCAAGTTTTGGATTTAAAACTGCTAGATAAGGATCTGGAGAGATGGCTCAGCAATTCAGAGCACTGACTGCTCTTCCAGATGGTCTCTGATTCCCAGCACTCACCTGACAGTTCACAATAATCTTTTAATTAGTCCCAAGGGACTGTAATCTCACGCCCTCTTCTGGTCTCCACAGGCACTACACACACTTGTGCACAGACATACATACAGGTGAAACACCCACATATGAAATTTTTAAAGGTTATTGGTAAAAATAGAAAACAACGTCTGATACAGATATGGATTTATGATGTCCATCTACTGCTAGCTAGTCTTGCTTTCTGTCCTGTGTTGTTTAATTCTGACTCCACATGTTAATTACCACCTTTTTAGGCTTCAACACAACCACCAATGTGGTCATCTTGGCAGGCACAAATCGGCCAGACATCCTGGATCCAGCTCTTTTGAGGCCAGGCCGTTTTGACAGGCAGATCTTTATTGGTGAGATGGTATTCACTGGGTTCAGTCCAAGTTTGTGGTTGAGATGTGCCTCACTGTGACCGTTTTTCCCTTAAAAATAATTTCTAAAGGACCCCCAGACATAAAAGGACGAGCCTCAATCTTCAAAGTTCACCTTCGGCCATTGAAACTAGACAGTGCCTTGGAAAAGGAGAAATTGGCTAGAAAACTGGCATCCTTAACCCCAGGGTTTTCAGGTAAGTGGAAATTACTGCTGTTTTTAAAGCATTTTTTAATCACTGGCAAGTACCAGGCCACTGTAGTCCTCTCACTTGGGGCCTTCGTCAGATGTTTTTACCTTTTAATTATGGGAAACTTCAGATGTGTGCATAATTAGAGGATCAGAAAATTGACCCTTGAGCACTTCGCCAGCTTTGAGAATGCGCAGGTGGCTGTTAACATCCAGGCATGGACTCCACCCTCTATCAGCATGGTGGATTATGAGCAGTTCCTAGCATATCCCTTCATCCATGAATCTTTGAGAATTTGTTCCCAAATGTCTTTTAACAGTTACTGATAGAGATAGCATGCTGCAGCACTCACCAGTACTAAGTGTAAGTTCGGTGGGTTTTAGAATATTGACATAGTAGCCCAGCGATCACTATAATTTAACTTTGAAACATTGTATCACCTTGAGAAGACTCCATCAGCATCTCTTTCCACCTCCAGACTTGAACAACAGTAATCTACTTTCAGTCCTTATAGGTTTTCCTATGTGGATATATTATATAATTGGATTATTCAGTATGTGACCTGCCTATGTTCACTTAGAATGCTGTTGAAGATTGGTCTGTGTGGTAATATGGAGCAACTTCTTTTGTTTTTCCGGTTATTCATTATCTGGTGTATGGTTATGCCTAGTCTCACTTAACCTGTTCTTCATTTGATGGCATTTGAGTGGTTTCTACTTTGTGATTGTTACGAATAACACTCCTAATATTCACATATATATTTTTGTGTGGGTCTATTCATTTCTCTTATTATATATATAATTTAGAATTGCTTGAGCATATGATGTGAATGTATTTGGATCTCTGAGGAATTACCTGGCTAGTTTCTAAAGCGACTGTATCATTTTAACTTTTCACCGTAGACTTTGAATATGTATGCCAGTTTCTCCATATCCTTGCCAGTAACTGCTATTTGCTCTGACTGTCTCTCTTCTGTCTCCTCCCACCTCTGGTTTTGAGACAAGATCTTGCTACAAAGCCTCAGCTAGTCTGCAGGTTGCTAGTTAATAGCTCAGGTTGACCTGAATTTGTGGTGATCCTCTTGCCTCTGGCCTCTCAGGGTTGGGATTACAAATGTGAGCCACCGCAGTTCCTTTATCTATCTTTATTATAGTAATCCTAGGGGCATAAATTGCCATCTCTTTGAGGTTTTGATTTGTTATCCAATAAATTATTGTATGAAGTATTGTTTCCATAGTTTGTTTTGCCGTTGATTTCTAGTTTTATTCTACTATGATCTGATAGGATATGAGAAATGGTTTTGATTCTTCCTGAATTTGTTGGATCAAATATTCTGTAGATGTCCTGGCTGTCCTGGAACTCACTCTAGACCAGGCTTGCCTCAGGCTCACAGAGCTCCTCCTGCCTCTGTCTCCTGAGTGCTGGGGTGTGTCATTTTGGTCAGTTTTAAAATACACCCATTATTTGCAGTCACTTATTCATTCATTCCATGCTTTCTTGGCTTAATCCCCCATGTTACTCGAATGTGTTGGCTTTGCTGGGTGAGTTAGCTTTTTCGTTTAAAGCTTTTAATTTCTTTGTATTGCATTTTTGACATGTTGGTTCTGTGATGTTGTGGGGAGATCCTTTGGACATGTGCTTTTGGAGCTCTAAAAATTTTTACATTTGGATATCCATTTCTTTCTCGAGATCTGGAGGTTTTTCTTTGAATTTATTTACAAAGCCTCTAGTGTTTATCTCAGTTTTTTCTATTCTGTAGATTCTTAAATGTGTTCTCTCTTCTTGATCCTAGCCCTGAGTTCTTAGTTAAGTCTGTTGGTGATACTCTCCACTTTTTTATTTGGCTCAATAAGTTTTTCTTTTTTAGAATTTATTTAATTATTTCAAAACTTAGTTTCCTTGCTGAGTTTTCTTCCATGTTGTTGCTGACTTCTCAGCCATTTTCCTGACTTTACCTCTGTGTTGCTGGCTTTCCTCTCCAGAACCTAGATTGTGCAATTAAAAATAATGTCATTGGAGTCCCACAGCCAAACATTAGGTGGAGCTCAGGGAATCCTGCAAAAGAAGGGGAGAATGGATCATAAAAGCCAGATGGGTCAAGGACATCACAAGAAAACCCACAGAATCAGCCAACCTGGACTCATAGGGGCTCACAGAGACTGAATCAACAGCTAGGAAGCCTGCATGGGTCTAGCCCTCTACACATATGTGACAGTTGTAGAGCTTGGGTTTTTGTGGGACTCCCAACAGTGGGAAAGGAGCTGTCTCTGAATCTTTTGTCTGTGTTTGAGACCCTTTTCCTCATACTGGGTGCCTTGTCCAGCCTTAATATGAGGAGGTGCATAGTCTAACTACAACTTGATATGCCATGTTTGGTTGATATACATGGGAGGCCTGCCCTTTTCTGAAAGAAATGGAGGGAAGGTAGGTGGGAGGGGGTCTTTGGTCAGGTTGTAATATATGAAAGAAAAATACATTTTTAAAAAATTTTAGAGGGGGCTGGAGAGATGGCTCAGCGGTTAAGAGCATTGCCTGCTCTTCCAATTCTCAGCAACCACATGGTGGCTCACAACCATCTGTAATGAGGTCTGGTGCCCTCTTCTGGCAGGCATACACGCAGGAAGAATATTGTATACATAATAAATAAATAATTTAAAAAATTTAGAAAATACTGTCATTGGGCTCAGTAGTTATGAGCACTGGCTGCCCTTCCAGAGGACCCAGGTTCAACACCCACACAGCTAACAACAATCTATAACTCTAATTCCAGGTGATCCAGCATCCTCTTTTGGTCTGTGTTGGCACTGCACACACATGGTGCACAAGCATACATGTAGGCAGCATGCTCATACACATAAATGAAATAAAGATTTTAAAAAGCTATTATAGTTTGCTATTACCTGAAACGTATTATTTATTAAGGTGAATTGTCTGTAGTTACCTATTTGCTACTAATTCTCTCATCTTAGCTCACAGGGCCAAGGGTATATATAGGCTTGTACTTAATACTAGAATAGCTTAGGATCTTGTAAACACTTGAATTATGTTTCAATTAGACCCCTTCTCAGTCTCCTGATGGATGGGTAAGATCTGTGTGGGTTCAGTCTTCCCTAGTGTGTGCCTGTCAGTTTGAGCATGGTTTTGTGTGTTTGTAGGAGCTGATGTTGCCAATGTCTGCAATGAAGCTGCTTTGATTGCTGCAAGACACCTTTCAGATGCCATTAACGAGAAGCATTTTGAACAAGCGATTGAGCGAGTGATTGGTGGTAAGGCAGCTGAATATAACTGAGGTTTAAAGGCTGATGGTAGTCAACATGTTAGGTGGTATGTGGCAGCCATCCCAACACTTGGGAGGTGAGGGAGGAGGTTTTCAATTTTGAGCCCACTTTAGGGTAAAGGATGAGACCTTGTCTCTTTTTTAAAAGCTCATAAAAGAAAAAGTTCAGCCCTTGATTACTGTTTTGGCAAGATTGCAAGATCTACAAAGAAAGTATTTCCACACAGCTGTGGGGCTTGCCATGCAATCTCCGGGCTTACCTTGTGTGTGGTATTGAATTCTGTCTGTCTGTTTTTTGAGACAGGGTTTCTCTGTCTAGCTTTGACTGCCCTGGAACTCACCAGACTGGCCTTGAACTCACGGAGACTCTTAACCTGCCTCGGCCTCCTGGGCTCCCGGATTAAAGGCTCGCATCACTGCCTGGAGGCATTAAATTCTTACCACAGAGTCTTTTGGACTGTGTGTCAGGGAGTGACCTTCCTAGAGTGGCCTGTGTGGTGACTTGCCAGCCCTGAGTAGGAAGTTTGGGTCTATCACTAGGGCGTTATTTTCCTTCATCACCTCCCACTGGCAACAGACAACAAGCATCCTTATCTCAGGACTTGATGGTTCTGATTAACAAAACCAAACATAGTCATCCAGACTTCTCTATGAGTTTCCTGTTTCATACGACCTAAATGCTGAATTACATTTACATTTCTGTTGATTTTCCCCAAAATAATAAGTGGCTTAAAACAGTGGGTGGTTAGGATAAAAGCGAGCCTGAGGCAGAGATGAGAAATACACATTTTTATTGTAGTTGTATATATTTCAGACTTGACCCTTTTTTCTGATTTTGGTTAGAAAGTTTAGGCGGGTTAGTTGTTAAATTATGTCTTAAGCAATAAGGTTGTAGGGGCTGGAGAGATGGCTCAGCGGTTAAGAGCATTGCCTGCTCTTCCAAAGGTCCTGAGTTCAATTCCCAGCAACCACATGGTGGCTCACAACCATCTGTAATGAGGTCTGGTGCCCTCTTCTGGCCTGCAGGCATACACACAGACAGAAAGAACATTGTATACATAATAAATAAATATTTTTAAAAAAAAAGTAATGAGGTTGTAGCATTACATCGCTATTTTTTAATGTCATTGTCACCAAAATAGTGATTTGGGGTTTTTGTTATTAGGCTTGGAGAAAAAAACCCAAGTTCTGCAGCCCGAGGAGAAGAAGACCGTAGCTTACCACGAAGCAGGCCATGCGGTCGCCGGCTGGTATCTGGAGCATGCAGACCCGCTCTTAAAGGTGCCACAGAGTGTGTTGCAGCAGGCAGGCCAGCTTAGAGTGTGAGCAGTGACTGGAGAGATAGCAGATACAGTGTACCTTTGGAGGGATGTGGCAGAAACTAATGGTGGCTGAAGGAAATGCTTATATACATCCTCCTGCAGATAGAGCACAATTTTTGACAAAACCTTCTCTGTCACCCTAGAGATTGAACCTAGGACCTCATATATGCTGGATAAATCCTCTACCACTCAGCTATACCCCCCCAGCTCTTTTTTTTTATTTTATATTTATTTTGTATTTTTCAGTATGTGTGGTGTATATGTATGTATGTGTTCAAGTGTGGGGACACAAATATCTGCTTACACTTGGTGTGCTTGAGTGTGTAAGCCAGAGGTCAGTGTTAAGTGTCTTTCTCTAGAGCTTTCCATGTTATTCACCATTATCATTATGAAGGTGGCATCTCACTGATTTGGGGTATGTTGATTCAGCAAGACTAGCTGGCAGTCCCAGGAATCCTCCTGTCTCTGCCTTGTAAGTGCTAGGATTGCAGGCACCTGGCATCATAGTCAGGTTCTTCGGAAGGATCTGAACGCAGGTCCTAATGCTTGCATAGCAAGCGCTTTCCTGACTGAACCTTCTCCCTACTCCCTCTACTTTTTATTTTGGGGAGAATCTCACTGTTTCCCAGGTTGTCCTTGAGCTCACTCTGTAGTCAAGCCTTGACTTTTCACTCTTCAGAAGACCAGAGCCAGAAAGTGTCCACAACAGAGCAGGGTTGGGAGAGAGCAGCGTTGGTGGTGGTGAGGGTTGGAAATGCACCAGTCCCTGGCCTGAAGCGTTCTGTTACTATAACCCAGTGGGTAAAGGTGCTTGCCACCGAATCTGACAATTTGGGTTCAATCCCAGGATCCACCTGGTGGAATAAACATTCTGACATGCACACAGCCACACACATACACATAATCAATCAATAAAAAAGTTGATATTAAGACTTCATTGATATTTAAAACTTAGTCTTTGAGGTCCGGGCATGGTATCACATGCCTGTAATGTCAGCACTTGAGAGGCAGAGGCAAGAGGATTTTAAATTTGGGGTCAGTCTGGGCTACATAAAGAAACTAGCACTACTGGTGGTGTAAATCAGTGACAGAGCATTTGACCGGCGTGCATAATAGTGAACCCTGCCTGGGCAACCTAATAAGACCCCCAACTCAAAAGTAAACAAAAACAAACCCCACAAAACCCCAGCACCCTTGTCTTTGAGAAATGCCATTAAGAAAATGTGAAAGGGGGCTGGAGAGATGGCTCAGCGGTTAAGAGCACTGACTGCTCTTCCAGAGGTCCAAGGTTCAATTCCCAGCACCCTCATGGCAGCTAACAACTGTCTGTGACTCCAGTTTGAGAGGATCATGCAGATATACATGCAAACACAACACCAACGTGCATGAAATAAAGATGGCTAACAGAAAGAAAAACCCATGTAAAGAATGAAAATAAATATAAATATTAAAAAAGAAAAAAGAAAAAGAAAATGTGAAAGGGTTAGGTAGGCACATTGTGCTACACTCAGGAAGTAGAAGCTGGAAGACCAGGATTCCAGTTCAGCCTGGGCTGTATAGTAATATTCTGTCTCAAAATGTAGTCATTTTAAAAGGAAGTGGGGGAGAAAAGGCCACATTCTGGAAATGTTTGCCATAAATGTGACTGACAGAAGGTTTATATCTGAAAAAGTAAATCTTAAACTCAACGTAGTAAAACAGTAGATATATACACTTCATAAAATAAGGCACATTTTATAAACATTTTATAAACTAGGGAATTGCAAAGGCAGACATAGATACCAGAGCCACTTAGGAGTGGTTAGAATTTAGCAGGGTGTCGATGGCAAGGATGTGTGCACTACTTACAGGAGGTAAATGTTATCCTGACTTGATCCTCACCTAAAATGGGTGAAAATGGATTCTACACAAGGATTTTTCTGCTGTATTTATAGTGTAGTCAGCTAGAAACAACCCCGCTGTCCATCAAAAATAACCTGGAAGCCAGGCATGGTGGGCTCATGCTTGTAGTCCCAGCACTTCAGAGGGTAAAGCAGTAGGATTAACATGCTGTGAGCTCAAGGCCAGAGCTTAGGCAAGTGTGAGACCTTGCCTCAGAAAAACAACAAAAAACGGACACCTGCTGTATTTACAGCAGTAACATGCTGTAAAGCAGTAGAAATTAATAAGCAGGTTGTTAGTACACACAGCAGTATGGATGGATCTCAAAAACGGAGTAAAACCAGACACACAGTGCAGTCTGTGCGGTGGCACTTACGCACAATTCTAGAAAGGGTAAACTTGCCTGTTATAGGCTGGCATGTGGTTGCTTGGGACTGTGCATGGCAACTTGGGGGCATGATGGCAGCATTTATGTGTTAGTTATGGTTGGAAGTTGCTTCTAAAACTCATGTTTTAGGGTGTTGGGGAAATGGCTCAACAGTTAAGAACATTGGCTGTTCTTCCAGAGGACCTGGGTTCAATTCCCAGCACCCACATGGCAGCTCATAATTGTAACTCCACCCCAGGGTGTCCAACATACATGGTATACAGACACACATAAGCAGAGCAACCATAAGATAAAAATAAATATAAAACTTAAAAAAAACCACTGTAGGTCTGGAGGGATGGATCAGCCATTAAAGGCTAGGTTCACAGCCAAAAATATAAGAGTTTGGTTCCCATCACCCACAGCTGTCCCTCCAGGTACCAAATAAAAAATAAAGAAAAAGAAAAAAACCACTATATATGTTTAAAGTGGGTAGACTTTATATAGAGAAATCCTTTTCAATACAGTTTTCTAAAGATAAAGGAAATTGCCTAGGTTCATAAAAGGGACCTGGTAGGGCAAAGAAAGGTCTTGCGCATCTTGGCCCACCGTCCCCTTCGTCCTCTGAGGCACAGGTAACTGCTAGAATTGAGGAGACCTCAGCCAGCAGTCATCAGGACTCCTTTACTAAACAGCTGGTTTTAGTTTGCCTTTACAGAGGGCAGACGTGCTTTCCTGAACTCTGAGGTGAGAGTTTCCCTCCTGGCCCTTGCTAGACCAGGGCTGTGTTGGGAGTGGGAGCCTCACCGCTGTGCTTTCTACTCACCAGGTGTCCATCATTCCGCGTGGTAAGGGGCTGGGCTATGCTCAGTACTTGCCGAAGGAGCAGTATCTGTACACAAAGGAGCAGCTGCTGGACAGGATGTGCATGACTCTGGGTGGCCGCGTCTCCGAAGAGATCTTCTTTGGAAGAATTACAACCGGAGCCCAGGATGACTTGAGGAAGGTTACCCAGAGTGCCTATGCCCAGGTGAGTGTACCTGGGCTTTGCCTCCCTTTCTGTTAGCCTGGGAAGTCAGCCTTCGTGAAGGACTGAGGTGACACAGATGGTTCCCTAGTGTAGGTTCTTAAAGCAAGGATTCTTTCTTAAATTCACTGGAGAGATGGCTCAGAAGACTGTGTACTATTCTTGCAGAGGATCTACATTCTCTTCCCACAACTCATGTTGGGCAGCTGCTACTGCCTGTAACTCCAGATCTGAAACTTCTGGCCTCTAAGAGCATCTGGACTCATGTACAGACATACAAGGACATACACATATAAATAGTTTAAAATACTATAAAAACAAAACCTAACAAAAAGTCCACTAACACAATAAAAACTTTCTGGAAGGTAGTGGTGCCCTTTAATCCCAACACTCAAGAGGCAGAGGTAGATGGATCTCTTGAGTTTGAGGCCAGCCTGGTCTAAAGAGCTAGTTCCAGGACATCCAGGGCTACACAGAGAAATTCTATCAAAAACCAAACAAAAACAATAAAAACTTACAGGAAAAAAAAAGAGTATTTCAGTCTTCAGAGTTTTTCCTAAGAATCCTGTATGTAATAGTTACAGGTAGAGTTTAAAGTTTAGTTTTTTCAAAGCTTTTATTTTTCTGGGCAGGGTCTCTTGTTCAGGCTAGTCTCAAATTTGATGTATAGGTGAAGGTGACCTTGAATTCTCCTCTCAAGTGTTAGGGTTTCAGTATGGGCCACAGTGCCCAGCTGTAAAGTTTGATTTTTAAAAACGGTTTGTTATTTGATCTATATGAATGCTTTGGATGCATGTACGCATGTGTACCACGTATGCCTAGTGCCCTTGGAGGCCAAAAGTGTGCACAGGATCTCCTTGAACTGGAGTTTCAGATGGTTGTGACCTGCCATGTAGAACCAAACCTGGGTGCTCTAGAAGCCCTATACTTTAATTTTTATTTCCATGTCCCTGTTTGTCAGTGGAACTCGGGATCTCCCTACAGCCTGTCCCTTGCCCCTCCCCTAAGCAGCAGCCTCTCTTGACCTGTTCCCATTCCTGTGCTTTCTTTAGCTTTTACTGCTGGTTTCAGCAGCCCCAGCAGTAGGCTGTGTCCCCTGAGCAGACATGAGCCGTCTCTGTGGGAACGCTCTCCATTGAGGCAGCTCTTTGCTTATCGTCCATGTCTTGCTTTGAAAGTGGTCTCCCCTCCCCATGTGGTATCAGTGATTACTTATTATTTATTTTTTATTATTTATTACTTATTATTTGCTCTTATTTCTTTCTAGTTTAAGCCCATTTATTTGTGTTTGTTTTGGGTTTTTTGAGACAGGGTTTGTCTGTATAGCCCTGGTTGTCCTGGAACTCATTCTATAGACAGACTGACTTCAAGCTCTCAGAGATTTATGTCTCTGCCACCTGTGTACTGGGGTTAAAGGCCGTTGCCACCACACCCAGTCTAGTTTAATCTTTAAAAAAAATGTTTTTTCTGCAGTGTGTAGTTTTCTCTGTCTTCTAGCCCCCGGAGTCCTTCTGAGTCTGATTCACAGAGTCCATTCTGCTTCCTCCTGTATGCTTCATTTCTGGAACAGTGGGTCACAGTTTCCTCTGTGATGCAGACCTGTTTCCATCCTGATTTTCCTCTCTGAAAACATTATTCTGTGTTGTTTGTCTTTGAGGTCTCAGGAGTTGGGAGGTCAGGCTGTGGAGGTGGGGAAGCCTGTGCTTTCCACTCCTTGTCTCTGCCGCTTCCTGCTTGGATCAGAAACACCCCCTTCCCTTAGGATCCTTTCACTTCTGTTTTATGCCTATCTATGGGTGTTTTGCTTGCATGTGTCTGTGCACTGTGTACATGTGGAAGCCCTGGGAACTGGAGTGACAGAAGGTAGAGAGCCTTCACATAGGTCTGGGAACCATCTGTCACTCACATGGCCCCTTGGCTCCTTTGACACAGTCTGTGAAATATGCAGGTGTTGTCCCGTGTCCCGTGTTCTCAGGTTTAGACTGTCTTTTCACAGGAGAACTTCTTGGCAGTTTGATCTTACCAAGTGCTTTTTTTTTTTTTTTTTTTTTTTTAGTTTTTCGAGACAGGGTTTCTCTGTGGTTTTGGAGCCTGTCCTGGAACTAGCTCTGTAGACCAGGCTGGTCTCGAACTCACAGAGATCCGCCTGCCTCTGCCTCCCAAGTGCTGGGATTAAAGGCGTGCGCCACCACCGCCCGGCACCAAGTGCTTTTTTGTTTGTTTTGTTTTATTTAGTTTTTGTTTTTTGAGACAGAGTTTCTCTGTGTTGCCCTGGCTATCCTGGGACTTGCTTTGTAAACCAAGCTGTTCTTGAATTCAGACATACCCCTGCCTCTGCCTCCCAAGTGCTGGAATAAAGACGTGCACCACCACCACCAGCAATATCAATTGTTCTTTCTTCTTCCTGTCCCCCCACAAGTGAAATAGCCTGAGGGCTTCAGAGCTGCTGTAGTCTGCCCACTGCCTATCCACTTATTTTGTCCTGATTGTGCTCTGTATAAGTTTAAATCATGCTGCTACCCTTGGCTGTCATCTACAGAGTGTCTTTGTCCCCTGGCCTCTGTAAGTGTTCAAAGGTAAAGGTTCTTTTATCTAACCTTTTAATTATTGATGTTTTTCAGATTGTCCAGTTCGGCATGAATGAGAAGGTGGGGCAGATCTCATTTGACCTCCCACGCCAGGGGGACATGGTATTAGAGAAGCCTTACAGTGAAGCCACGGCGAGGATGATAGACGATGAAGTGAGGATACTCATTAATGATGCCTATAAAAGAACTGTGGCTCTTCTCACCGAGAAGAAGGCTGATGTAGAGAAGGTAGGTGCCAGCATATGGATGACTCTCTGCATGAGTGCTTTGGTTGTGTGTGTGTGCACGAGCAAGCATACAAACGTCAATCAGATGGTAATTCTGTAGAGCTGGTTCTCTCCTTCCACCTTTATGTGCCTTTAGGGATTAAATTTAGGTCATCAGGTTTGCTCAGAAAGTATCTCTACTTGCTGAGCCTTCTTGCCAGCCTCATTGGTTTGAGACAGGATTTTGCTGTGTAACCTTGACTGGCCTGGAACTCACTGGGTAGCAGGCTGGTGCCAATCTTCCCCTTCCTCTACCTCCTGAGTACTGGAATTACAGGGGTGAGTCACCTTATCTGGCTTTCTACAGGTGATTTAGTTGGTGTCTAGACTCAAGAATCCCTTCCTTCCTTCCGACCTCCTGTGCTCCTTCCCTCTGGTGTTGAGTGTTCCCCGTGACTGGGGTGCAGAAGCAGCACTATTCTGGTTCTTGTGTTAGGTGAAGAAAGTCTGTGAACGCGCAAAGGAGAATGTTAGGGCCAGCCTTATTCCCGTGTAAGATTATCTCACTCCTGCCTAGACTACATGTATTCAATATATACCAAAGAAATGTTTGGTGGAAGGAAAATGTGTTGAGTTGACTAAGGATCCTGACACTGTGGGTGTCAGAAGTATTTTGTGACCCAGCAGAGAAAAGGATGCAGATAAAGTGTTGAGCCTGTCGGGGGACCAGTCTACTGGGAGGAGAGGGCTTGAAGGCTTTGCTCTCCTATGCAGGTTGTGTGAGACCCTTCAGAATAAGGAGAACTAGCTTACACAGTACCAGCTAAACCTGCAACCTCCTGAGGTGTCATTATCCCCACTTCTTAGTGAAGAAACAATGCAGAGAGGCCATGTGGTGGCTTAAGGTCACAGAGTGGTGAGTGGCAGAGGCAGTGTTCTGACCCAGCTACAGCCCTTGCAGGTCCCCTCTCCTGTGCTATGTCCACAACGGCTGTGGGTGGTTTCCAAGCACTGGCAATGTGACCGGTCTGAGAGGTGCTGTGAGAGTGGCTGTTTGTATGCACAGACGTCCACGCTCACCCACGACTGCACTGTGTGCTTGCATCAGCGGAAGCCTAAAGCTTTTATTCCTCCTGCGCTCCATTCACACTTAGTTATGAGAAATGCACGCTGTCGGTTTGGTTTTGCTTGTCTAAGGATTTCAGATGAGGAATAGTGCCGAGGTGATGGTCACCTCAATAGCACATAATCTATTCTTCCCTCCTAAAAGCAAGTGTAACCTGCATTGCACATTTGTGCTTTACTTTCCTGCAGAGAAGTATTGGCATCCCTTTATTACAGCTACATAATCCTTAATTGTGTAGATGTGCCAAATGTGTTTGCCTTTTTGCTTATGAAGGACATTTCTGACTTCCGCTATATTACACATCTTACTCTTAAAAAATCATGTGATTTTATTTATGAGACATGTTCAGTTGTCTTTTTGATCTTTTTGGGGTTTGTTTTTTTAGATTTTTTTTGTTTTTTTGAGAAAGGGTTTCTCTGTGTAGCCCTGGCTGTCCTAGAACTCACTCTGTATCCAGGCTGGCCTTGAACACATAGAGATCCGCCTGCCTCTGCCTCCCAAGTGCTGGGATTAAAGGCATGCAACCACCACTGACCAGCCCATGTTTTATTTTTTAATATTACAGTCTTTTAATATGTATGAGTATTTGCCTGAATGCATGTATGTGCAGAGTGTGCATGTCTGGTGTTCTCAAAGACCAGAAGAGGGAGCTAGATGCTTTGGAACTGGAGTTACAAGATGGCAGTGAGCTGAGAACTGAACCCTGGTCCTCTGGAAGAGCAGCAAGTGCTCTTAACCACTGAGATACTCCTTGGGTTCTTATTAGAATGAATTCAGCTAAAAGCAAAAATCTTAACTTCTGAGTAAATTTTGCTGAGTAATTTTTAATGGAAATCGCTTGTATTTCAGGTTGCTCTTTTACTGTTAGAAAAGGAAGTATTAGATAAGAATGATATGGTTGAACTTCTGGGCCCCAGACCATTTACAGAAAAATCCACGTATGAAGAATTTGTGGAAGGCACCGGCAGCTTGGACGAGGACACTTCGCTCCCTGAGGGCCTTCAAGATTGGAACAAAGAGCGGGAGGAGAAAGAGAAAGAGGAGCCCCTGAGTGAGAAGATCGTCAGCTAGGCTCAGGGCTGGCCCTTACCTTGTCCTCCCAGGGCTTCAGCTTTCAGTTTCAGCAGCAGCAGCCCCAGTGCAAAGCCACCTGCTGACTGAGCCAGGCTGAGCAGAGGGCCTGCACTGCGCTTGCAGGAGTGCCAGCAACCCAGGCCTTTCAAGGGGACTCTCCTGCCCCTCAGCCTTGGCCTCACAAACAGTGGCCGGAACAGGAGAGATGATGACACCTGTCCTGTGGAATCCTATTCTGTGGTAGGAGAATGTTTTCCCGTTACCTGCTCTCCATTCTTCCTCCTTTGATATCTCTGCAGAAGTGCTGTATAAAATTCAGTTCGAGTCCTTTGATTCAAGCAAATATTTTAAAATTTGAATTCAGATCACTTATTGCTGTTTCAATAGAATGGTTTTCTATAGAGAACTAACATATTTAAAAACCTGAATGTATTGTGTAAATATGGATTCTTTACATCGGAAATAAAAGGTGGACATTGTACTTTTTTCCTGAACATGTGCAGGGTCACTATGCTGTGCTTATGTTTAGAGAACATAATGTCAGGAAATTAAGTGGTTTTCATTTTTGAAGATAAATTCTTCAAAATCTTACCCAACTGGTCTCATCAGCTGCCACAGAAAGCTGCAGCCCTCCAGATTTATGTCCTGGACTGGTGCTGTTGGAGCCAAGAATCAGTCGTTGGGAGCTGTGATAGCTGCATCAACTAGGTTCTCCCTGAGCTGAGCTGGCCATAACAGGTATGCATTGTGCCGTCTGGGCTCGGCTGTTCCTAGAGGGAATGATGGATCTGGGTCCCCAGCGGTGCTGGAGGTGTGTGTGCTTACTGCTGTCAGTCTCCAGCAGAGGGTTATAAAGATTGTACAACCGCAGATCAACTCCCATCTTCAAGTGCCATTATTTGAGCTTAGAGATACTGATTATTTTATTTTTTAAATTGGATCTACTCTAGCCCACTGGCCTGGAAGTCACCGTTGTAAGTCCACACTAGCACTGAACTGACAGCAGTTCCCTTAAAGTTTTCCTTAAAAGATTAATTTTTATCTTTTTATGTGCATGGGTATTTTGCCTGCATGTATGTCTGTGTACTCCATCTGTGCCTGGTGCCTGAAAAGGACAGAAGAGAGAGTATCAGATCCCCCCGGAGCTGGAGTTACAGGTAATTATAAGCTACCAGACTTGGGTGTTGGTAACTAAATTTGGGTCCTCTTCAAGAGCAGTGTGCTCTTAACTGTTGAGCCATGTCTCCAAACGCTGCTTTGTTTTTAAGTACTAGGATTATAAACCACCATGCCAATTTTGTATTTCTTTTTAGCTGCATCTTATAAAAAACATTCCAGCTTGCCTTGTGCTTTGCTGATGTGGGGACAGTGGCATCGCTGGAGTAGTCTTTCAGTGGCGGTAGGAGCTATTTTTGATGGGTACACTCCAGCTCATGGCCACATGGTAAGTGGGGTCAGAGATGCACCGAGGTACCAGCTCTCACCAGCGTATCGACTCTGCATGGTCATTTGCAGAAGAGCCACGATGTCCCTCCTTTTCTCCCCACTGGATATTTCTGGGAGGGGATAGCTCAATGGAGACTTGAGGCCGTACCTGCTTAGTCAGGAGGATGCCCTCATGATGAACTGTAGTGGTGATGAACTGTTAACAGTCTTGGGTTCTTTGACAGAGAAGTAGTAATGGAACTTGGGCCAGTCTGTGGAAGGGAAAGAACTGTCTGCGAAAGTATCCAGTTCTTAAGTTTCCAGGCAGGTAAAGCTGAGACATTTCACCCTTAAGCTGCTATGCCTGCTACAAGTCAAGTGCCCGGGGCTTCTCCTGCCTCACAAGAACAGTAATAGAGGTGCCATTGTCCTGGCAAGCTTTGTGCGACCTCGGGGCAGGAGAGTAGGGTCACCTCACCTGCACAGGAATGGGTATGGCAAGGCTTAGCTGCATGCCACCTGTGAAGCCTGACCCATAGCAGACCCTTTTCCAAGATAGGTGTGATTTATGGGGATCTCACATAATAGGTTTCTGAAAAATGAGAACTACATTATCACATTGCTTCAATGAAATTCAAGAGACCAAAAAACACGTTTAGCATTTTATTATGAATGGATTGTCACCAAGTTCCATTTTGTGTATTCAATTAAGGCAAAACTGTGTGGCTTTAGGTTTATCACCAAGAATGAAAAACAAATCCTTATTCTAACTCCCCTGTTAACTATGATGGCTGGGCACTTAACGGAAGGTGGTTGCTATCTTTAGCCCTGTACAGCCCCTTAATTTGCTTTCAGTGTTTCTGTACAAAACCACCCTGGTTTGGTGGGACTGCCAACTCTCCAGCAGAGGAAAGTGCTTGTTCCCGATAACCTGGGAACAGTGCAGTGTTTGAGAGGGGCCTGTAACGTGCATACCAGGGCAGCAGGCTCACACCATCAGGGCTAAGAAGAGAGCAAGTGTACACTCTAGCATCTTACGGCTCCCTATTCGTTGATCTCTTCTTCATCCTCGTCTTCAAAAGCCTCTTCCTCGTCGTTGACAGTGGCGTCCTGATACTGCTGATACTCAGACACCAGGTCATTCATGTTACTCTCAGCCTCGGTGAACTCCATCTCGTCCATGCCCTCACCAGTGAACCAGTGCAGGAAGGCCTTGCGGCGGAACATAGCCGAGAACTGCTCGGAGATGCGCTTGAACAGTTCCTGGATAGCGGTGCTGTTGCCAATGAAGGTGGAAGCCATCTTCAGGCCCCGTGGTGGGATGTCACACACGGCCACTTTGACGTTGTTGGGGATCCACTCCACGAAGTAGCTGCTGTTCTTGTTCTGGATGGCTAGCATCTGCTCATCCACCTCCTTCATAGACATGAGGCCCCGGAAGACAGTGGCGACCGTCAGGTAGCGGCCGTGGCGCGGATCACAGGCAGCCATCATGTTCTTGGCATCAAACATCTGCTGTGTGAGCTCAGGCACTGTCAGAGCCCGGTACTGCTGGCTGCCCCGGGCTGTGAGTGGTGCAAAGCCGGGCATGAAGAAGTGCAGGCGTGGGAAGGGCACCATGTTCACAGCCAGCTTGCGCAGGTCAGCATTGAGCTGACCTGGAAAACGCAGCGATGTGGTGACTCCGCTCATGGTGGCAGACACCAGGTGGTTAAGGTCCCCGTAGGTGGGCGTGGTCAGCTTGAGCGTGCGGAAGCAGATGTCGTAAAGAGCTTCATTGTCAATGCAGTAAGTTTCGTCAGTGTTCTCCACCAGCTGGTGCACCGACAGCGTAGCATTGTAGGGCTCCACCACGGTGTCTGAGACCTTGGGCGATGGCATCACGCTGAAGGTGTTCATGATGCGGTCCGGGTACTCCTCCCGGATCTTGCTGATGAGCAGGGTGCCCATGCCTGAGCCCGTGCCACCGCCCAGCGAATGCGTGAGCTGGAAGCCCTGCAGACAGTCGCAGTGCTCGCACTCCTTGCGCACCACATCTAGCACCGAGTCCACCAGCTCCGCGCCCTCAGTGTAGTGACCCTTGGCCCAGTTGTTCCCGGCGCCTGTCTGTCCTGCAAGATAACAAGATTCCAGAGGGGACCTGCTTTCCTCGATCAGTATTTTCAGAGCACGAGAGATTAGAGCAAAGAAACAGGAGCCAGGCAGCAGGTACCCACCAGTGTCTAGAAAACACACGAGCAGGTACCTCTTTAGATAGGACAAGCCTATACCCAGGGGTGGGGGCCCTACTCCCTAGAAGAGTGCACTTAGTACACAGAGGTCCTGGTTCTGGAGTCAACACCAGGACATTAAACTAATGACAAGAGCTGGAGAGATGGCTCAGAGGTTAAGAGCACTTGGCTGCTCTTCCAGAGGTCCTGAGTTCAATTCCCAGCAACCACATGGTGGCTCACGACCATCTATGATGAAATATGGTGTCCTCTTCTGGTCTGCAGGCATACATGCAGGTAGAATGCTGTACAGTAAATAAATAATTTTAAAAAATAAACTGATAAATAGTAGGGTGGCGGTGGTGGTGCACGCCTTCAATCCCAGCACTTGGGAGGCAGAGGCAGGTTGATCTCTTAAGTTCAAGGTCAACCTGGTCTACAAGAGCTAGTTCCAGAACAGCTAGGACTGTAATAAAGAGAAACCCTATCTCAAAAAAGAAAATAAAAAAACAAGCAAACTAATGACATAAATCTATATATAAACATTTAAGATACATAATGTCATTTGTTTTGAGTTAGTCTATCTATGTAGCCCCATCAGGCCAGCTCTGATCTTACTGCTGTTATTTCTCTATTTAGACAGGGTTTCTCTGTGTAACCACAGTGGCTGCCCTGGAACTTGCTCTGTAGACCAGGCTGTCCTTGAACTCACAGATCTGCCTGTCTGCCTCTTTTAAAATAATTTTGGCATATGATCAAAGTTCAAAGAGGACATGATACATCAGTTATTTGCCTTCCCTCTTTTGAGCTTTCTGAACTTTGCACTAATTCTGAAAATCCAAAACACTTCAAAACCCCTAACTTTTTTAGTATGGGTCTGATGCCATGAGTGGAAAATTCCATACCTGACCTCATATGAGAGGCCAAAAACAAGATGCATTGAACCTTCAGTTTCTGTGTATAAAGTGTAAAGTAAACATAATTCATGTTTGCTATCCCACTGGCAAGGAAGCTTCTTATACATATGCAAATATTTCACAAAAATCTGGTTTCAAGGATTTTTGGGCAAAGGATTTAAAACCCATGCTATATACAAATACTTTTTTTTTTTTTTTTTTCCAAGACAGAGTTTGTGTATCTCTGGCTGTCCTGAAACTAGCTAGCTCTGTAGACCAGGCTGGCCTTGGAATTCAGATCTGTTTGTCTCTGCCTTCCAAGTAAAGGCATATGCCACCACTGCCCGGCTACAAATACTTTTTTTTTTAGGTTTATCTGTTATGTATATACAGTGTTCTGCCTGCAGGCCAGAAGAGGGTGGCAGATTTCATTATAGATGGTTGTGAACCACCATGTGGTTGCTGGGAATTGAACTCAGGACCTCTGGAAGAGCAGCCAGTGCTCTTAACCTCTGAGCCATTGCTCCAGCACCCCCGCCCCCCAGTAATGAGTTTTGATGTGAATGGGGCACTTCATTCATTACCCATTTTTCTAGGAACTAACTACTGGTTTTGCATCCAGTGCAGTTGTGGAAAGGAACCTAACATGCCTACAAAAAAATTTGAGTTTTTATCAAGAGTTCAAGTGGCTAGGAAAAATCATCTAGTCAGTCTGTGTTTCATAGAGCAGCTCATCCTACAGACAGACTTTACAGAGACAGACACTCTTCATTTCCTGAACACAGAATCAATGTGCTAACATCTAAGAGTGTACATAGAAAACCCCAACCATCCACAACACACCAGTTACCTGTCTAAGGATAGAGCCTCATGGCGCCATGAGGCTGACGGGTCCCCATTGTTACACTACAGTGCTTGGACAAGGCACATGAAGACCCTCCGAATTCACTGTGATGAAAAAGGTAAGTTTGCAGAAGGCACCACCTTCAGGAGGGCGCTCACGCTTCCTGCTATCCATGCCCCAGTGGGTGTGGTGAGGATCTAGACAATCACAGCAGCTGACTAGCACACCTACTGGGCGCTGGTCCCTCTGGCCTCTCAGGTAGCCATTTCTTGCTTTGCTTTTCCCTGGTCTAACCTTATCTAGGATGGGCTTCTTCTCTCTTACAAACAGGAGTTCTCTTCTATCCTGTCTAGCTGTGCTGTCCAGTGAAAACTGGCTGGTTCTCTTCTCTGAGCGGACTCTAAGATGGTGATAGACACTATGAACAGTAGTGACTTGGAGGGGAAAGGGTTTATTTTACCTTACAATTTATAGTTCATCATGAAAAGAAGCCAGGACAGGAACTCAAGGCAAGAACTTAGAGGCAGGAACTGATAGACCATGGAGGAGAGCTGCTTTAACTGCCTTGTTCCTCATAGCTTGCCCAGCCTGCTTTCTTATAGACCCCAGGACCACCTGTCCAGGGGTGGTACCACCCACAATAGACTAGATCCTCCCCCACCAATCATTAATCAAGAAAATGTCCCACTGGCTGGGAGGTAACAGTCCATGTGATTAATCCCAGCATGCAGGAGGCAGATCTCTGTGAGCTGAAGCCAGCCTGTTCTAGAGAGTGGGTTCCAATACAGCTAGAGCAATACAAAGAAACCCTGTCTCAAAGGGGATTTTCTCAGTCGCAGTTCTCTCATCCCAAATGACTCTGGCTTTAGTCAAGTGGATAAAAACGCTAGACAGCACAGATAGTCACTGTCCTTTCCGAGGACCCACAAATTCATATCTACCTACCCCTTCCCACACAAGTCGGCAGGCAGCAGCCAGGCCAGAGCCCAAGACAGGCAATGAGAATATCAAACGCCGAGGTCAACTCGGCACTTAGGCTTGACCTTGTACCGGGAACATTGTTGCACAGAAGGACTGCACACACTGCCAGAGCCGTGGCCACTCAACGTGCAGAAAGCATAGAAGGCAGCTGCAGGCAAGACGCAGAACCTTAAATCAAACTTGCTCAAGCTGTAGGTCTTACAGTGATTGAGCTCCCCCAGCGACTCAGATTCCTCCCTATTCATAGCACAGATTAGCAGCAAAGTATTCTCTACTCTTGACAAAAGAAGGAAGCTGGCGACTTTTAAAAATATTTTGCCACCGTCTCATAGCAACAGATCATCCCTACTTAAATATTTGGGGGTCATAAGTTGACCAGCAACATGATGCATTGGGCTATTAATCAGTGACTCCAGCTTGTTAAACACAGGCTGCAGCCCTGAGGGTTGGCAGGCAAGCTGCAGATGCCTAGGGCTTCCTCAGTCCTCCCTCCGGTGAAGAACTGGTCTTCCAGCTCCTCGTGCTCCCTGGCTCCTTAGCGAGGCCTCCATCTGAAGGAAAACTACAAATCCACAAGGGGCTTTAAGGAAACAGCCTGTCTGGCGCTTAGCTTCCTTCCCACAGTCTCCTTGGCATAGCTGCTGTGCAACCAGCAATTAACAAAAGCAGTGTTGAAAGCGTATGATCATATCATTGGGAACTCACATTTAAGTAACTCACTTTTTAAAATTATATATTACTAATGCAACTAGTTCATCCACTCCCCCCTGGATTTTGTGAAAGAGTCTATGTAGCTCTGGCTGTACTGAACTCACTAGGTAGACCAGGCTGACCTCAAATTCGGAGATCCACCTGCATCTGCCTCCCAGGTGCTGGGACAAAAGGCATGTGTGCCTCTGTTTTTTTGCTCAGCGCTTAAGTCATTTCAAACTATACCCAGAACTGAAACGACACAGGCTTGTTGACTCAGTCTTCTGGTGCTGGTGACAGGCCTCCACACACGCTCTTCCATCACTAAGCCCTGCTTGACAATGGTCTATTTTAGTTTGCCAAAGCTACCTAAGAGCTGGGAACCAGCTGAAGTGTATCACTCCGGAGTCAACTGGAATTAAGACAATTCTAAATGAGGACTTGAGTTCAGATCCCCAGAACCCACATAAGATTTGAGCATGAGCTCACTGGCCAGTTGATATAGCCATAACCAAAAAAAAAAAAAAAAAAAAGAATGGAAAATAATAAACACTGTAGACAAAGGACAATTTTTGTGTTTTAAAGACAGGATCTCTTTCTGTAGTCCAAGCTACCTTCACATACATAGACCAAGCTGTGCTTGGATCCAGTGTCCCTGCTTCAGCCTTCTGGGTCAGTTAAGAACCACCACACACAATTTATCATAAATAAGTCACAGTTCTTAATTAAAATAAGGTCCAATTTCTTAAATTAAGGATATTTTATGTCAGGACAACTTGTTTAAAATTTTAACATTCTTAGCTAGTAGTGGTGGTGCACGCCTTTAATCCCAGCACTCAGGAGGCAGAGGCAGGCGGATCTCAGTGAGTTTTAAGGCAGCCTGATCTACAAAGGGAGTTCCAGGACAGCCAGAGCTACACAACACAGTGAAACTGCCTCAAAAAAAAAAAAAAAAATTCTGGACCAGCCATAGTGCATAGCCTTTAATTCCAGCTCTTGGATGGCAGAGACAGGCAGAACTCTTGAATTTGAAGCCATCTTGGTCGCATAGAAAGTTCCAGGCAAACCAGGGCTACATAGTGAGAGACCCTGTCTCAAATTCCTAACGGAGTGGGGGTGGGGGTTGAAGAGATGGCTCAGTGGTTAAGAACATCTACCACCGCTTTCAGAGGACCCGGGTTCAGTGCCTGACACCCACACCAGGTGGCACCCAGCTGCCCTATTAACTCCAGCTCCAGAGAATTCAACACCTTCTGGCCTTTGTGGGTACCCACATACATCTGACACACACACGGGAAGAGGGAGAGAAATGAAAAAATAAGCTTGGGTATGGCAGTATATTCCAGTCCAGCCAGAATTTTGGGGACGAGCTTTACACGCCAAATGTCATTTTCTTTGCACGTGTGTGTGTGTGTGTGTGCACATTGTGTACCTATGTAGTATTGGTGTACAGGCCAGAGGTTGAAGTGTCTTCCTCACTTAGTGCTTTGGACAAGAGCACACCAAACCTGGAGCTGACTGGTTCAGCTATATACTGACTGGCCAGCAGATACCCAGGACCTTCGTGTCTCCACAGATACATACCCACTGTACCCAGCTGTTTTCTTTTAATGGTCTAATAGAGCTTAGCCCTCATGCCTATACAGCAAGCTCTTTATGACTTAGCCTCTCTCTCCCCAGCCCCTGAATGCCATTTTCTCAGTTTCGAGATGCACCTGGTCCACTGGACAACTAAGCAATGACAAGGTCTGCCTCAATTTAGGTTTGCTCTTGTTCATCCACACACCAAACAGCTAGACCGGTGAGGACAGACCTCTCTTAACCTCCCACTTTATGATGGGCAGTGGTGGCGCACGCCTTTAATCCCAGCACTCAGCAGGCAGAGGCAGGCGGATCTCAGTAAGTTCGAGGCCAACCTGGTCTACAAGCAAGTTCCAGGATACTCAGAGCTGTTACATAGAGAAACCCTGTTTCGAAAAAAAAACAAAAACAACCTTCCTACTTTTCAGTTTGAAGAAAACTGGCTGCTACAAGAAGCTGCCTTCCCACAACCCAGAATTGGAATGACAAAGTTTCATAACAGGGCTGCAACTGGGGTACAACACCCAGGCCAGATGGGGCTCTCTTAGCCCCACTTGGCCTATGGTGGGCAGACAGTCCATCTGGACAGAAAAGGGAGAAAAACCTGCAGAGAAGCCATGGCTATGACAAGCCATCACCTTTGCTACACACTTCCAAGGAACCTGATGTTTTCTTACAAGACTTAAGGCATGTGAAAGGTTAGGGATAATAACACAGTGACTAGCCACACTTCTACCCATGTGATGACAGACCCCATCGACATTCTAGAAATTCCAATGTAACTTAAACATCATAAACAGTGCCAAGCCAGCTTCCCATGTTCTCTCAGAGAGCAGGAATGGGGTTTGTGTCTCCATGGGAAGTGTTTGGTCACCTATTTGAACACAGGTCTTCGGGTTTCTCTGGGACCAAGTCTCACGTGCTATGTCTAAGGTTCTCTTTTGGGCGTTCACACTTTATACACAGAACAGCCACTTTCGGGGTTGTTTTGGTGATTCCTGTAACTTTTTTCCGCTTGGGTTGTTTTTGTGGTCCTGGGGAAATCACACCCAGGACTTCCTCTATCCTAAACACGTGCTCAGCCACTGAGCCACACCCCAATCCTGATAAAGCAGTTCTCAAAGCACCAAGTCACTACTAGGGTAAGGGCTGGGATAGCAATTTAACTTCAGGTAAAGGCAGAGGTAAATTGCACTGCGGTGGCCCTTAGGCCGTGGGAGGTCTGGCCAAGTCTTCTGAGATGTTTATTATACTTTTCAAGAGTCTACTCTGAAATCAAAGAAAAAGAATTTCCATGGACCAATATGCTCATGTTCTTTTTAAAGAAAGATTTACATATGCACCTGTGTATGTCAGTGCATGCATGTGTGGACGCATACATGCCCAGAGGCCAAAGAGGGGTGCCACTTAGTCTCTATCACTCTGCCCATTCGAGGCAGGGTCTGTCTCTCTGGACCTGGGGCTTCTTTTTGCCCACACCCCAGGCTGAAAGCCAGCAAGTCCCAACAATCCTCCTGCCTGTACTCCTCTTGGGGCTTCCATCACAAGTATGTGTGGGATGCTAGGCTTGATGCGTGAGGGCTGAGATCCGAGCACCAAGTTCTCACAACGGGACAGCAAATGCTCTTAACCACTGAGCCCATTATCTTCAGTTCTCAGTCTTTTGCTTGTTCATTTAAGGCAGGGTCTCACAGCCCAGACTGGCTTCAAACTCCCCACCTCTCTGCCTCATCATCTTCAAAATGCTAGGATTTCAGGCCCGTGCCACCACTCCCAGATCATGACAGTACTCAGTGCACGCACGAGGCAAGGCCGGAGAGCGATGCCGGCTCTCTGCTCTCTTACTCCATCCAGTGTCTGCAACTCTCTGATCGGGCTAGATTGGCCGGCTGAATAAACACAGGTATCCACCTGGCCCCCCCCCCCCAGCACTGGGATTATAGGTACACACTGGAGTACTGGGCTGTCAGGGATCCAAATTCAAGTCCTCCTGTCTGCACAGCAAGCTCTCTACCAAGAAAACCCTCTTCCCAGCCACCTCATTACCGTATTCTTTATAAGAGCAAACACTGCTTCCCTGAGAACTGGCCTTGTAAAGAATTAATTACAATTATGTACCAACTAAATTACAGATCTTAGAACCACACACTAACATGGAGTATGGTTTATAATATCCCATGAAAAATATCTACATAATGGTATAATTAAAACAGAGGACAAGACAACCAAAATAAAGACAGGTTAAGGCACCCCAAAGCTGACTCAGTCTATGGAGATGGAGAGCAGGAGAAAAGGATTTGGGTACTCTAGTCTGCTTTTCTTTCTGAGACAGGGTCTTTCTAGACAGCCCTGGCTGTCCTAGAACTTGCTATGTAAACCAGACTGGCCTCAAACTCAGAGATCCACCTGCCTCTGCCTTTTGTACCACCTGGCTTATAGTTTAATTTTTTGATAATGTGATTGTGTTGTATTTTGCTGGAAATAAAGGCAAAGTAAAAAAATAAATGCTAGTTTAGAAGCAAAGGGTTCATAAATTGTCTTTCAGGGATAGAGACATGGGGTGTCACTTCCTTTCTTAGATTTAATTGCCAGAAAGAAAAGAAAGGGAGGGAGGGAGGGAGGGAGGGAGGGAGGGAGGGAGGGAGGGAGGGAGAATGAATTTAGTTGCCAGAAACCCAGAGTGAAATGGGTCCTTCAGCTGACCGCACTTGAGAAGGGCCCTGCTTTAATCTCTACACAGCATCAACCAGGCGTGGAGGCCAGGGCGCTAATCCCAGCACCTGTGTGGGGGAAGCAGCAGACTCAGCTCAAAGTCATCCTCAGCTACATAATAACCAGCTGTGGCTACATGAGACCCTGTCTCAACTCAATCACACCAATCTTCTCGCCTTGCTAGAACACCCAAAACATTGCTCATCTGAGCGTGCGTGTGTGTGTGTGTGTGTGTGTATGTGTGTGTTGAGAGAAAGAGTGAGCCAACATCCCTGTGTACACCTTGAAGGTCAGAGGACAATCTTACATTGGTTTGAAATAAAGTCTCTTGCTTACTGCTTCAGCCTCCAGGCTCCCTGCCCGTGGGCCTCTGTTGAGTCCTGCACCCCCCTCTCATCTCTGTCGCTGCCTCTATGAGAGGTCAGGGAATTGAATTGTGGTCCTGCTGCCATTACCTCACCTCGGATTCTCATAAGAGAATTCTTAGAACTTCAGGGTTCTTGAAGGGAGCATTTCTGTGACAGCCTACATACCTACCCTTTCAATTCTGTCTCCCTAAGGACCAGAGAGTCCTCGTGCAAGTTAGACAGCCAGTCCAAAGTTGTGCAGGGAATGGAGGGACCCTCGAGGGCCAGTGGCAGCGTGCTAGACTCTTCACTGGAGCCCTATCAGAGTATGCTCTCCCTCCTCCGCCTTTTCACACAGGGTCTATGTAGCTCTGGCTGACCCAGCTCTGAAACTCACAGAGTCTCCTGCCTCTGCCTCCCCAAAGCTGGGAGGTGCAGCATTGGTGTGTCCTGTAACACCCCACAAAGTAGTGTTGTGTTTTTAAACAGTGACATCTGGAGTTTTGCCTTGATTGTTTAAGTGACTTTGGTCTATAGCTTTCCCAAAATGATGTTTTGGGAAAACACAGCCTCATAAAAAACACTGCAGCTCTATTTCCTCTCAGCCATGGTTGAGGTAATGGGACTGCCTATTACCCCTCAATTAAACTGTGACTGCCCGGGGCCTTCTGAATATGGGGTCAGGATACAGATTTCTCATGATACCTTCACTCTCTATGATGCTTGTAGGCCAGGAATCGCCCTTAGAATTCTCCAGTTCCCCGGAATACACTCTGATGGCTCAGCCTTCCTAACCTGAAAATTCCAAATGCTCCAAACCCTGAAGCCTTTTGACTATCTCCTAGGTAGGTGCCACAAGTGGACAGTCGCAATTCAAACCCCTGGGTTCAACCCCCTGCACCACGATAAATAAGTACAAAACGAACCAATAAGAAAAGCAAGCAAGACTGAACCTACCGAAGATGAAGTTGTCAGGCCGGAAAAGTTGCCCAAAAGGCCCGGATCTCACACTGTCCATGGTGCCTGGCTCCAAGTCCACCAAGGCAGCCCTGGGCACATACTTCCGAGCTGGAGAGGGAAAGGTCACAAGAGTTACTTCCAGGTTCCTGGGAAAACTGACTTTTTTCCAGCAGTTCCACCGGCTCAGAGCTGCCTGGCTGGGATAACCAGAGTCGCTTCAGAGAGGCTACCGTGACTTTTCTCTCTAAAGAATCTTAACCCTGGGATGAGAAACTACTAGGCCCCTAAGCAGGACCAGTGAGAAACCAACCCTCCTGCCTACATCATGCCTATGGTATTTCCCAGTTCACCTCCGTCACTCCTTTCCTTTTGGACAGCGGCAATAAACAAGGTCTGTGGAACTGGCCTTCCGTCTGCTTTTTGGCACCTGCCCCATTAAAGTGTGTGAATGTATGAGCAGTCAAGCTGTGTGCGCAGCTCCTCCCTGGTGCCATCCCCAGGGGCTCTAGGATCCTAGAAGTTCGCTTATTTAAGTAAGAGTGGGTCTGTGTAGCCTGCACGGCGCCTGCGCAAGATGTAGTTCCCAGTGCGGGCGGACTTCAGAGGACCTCGAAGAGGAAGGAAGGGCTCCGCACATAACCAAAGAGAGGAACAGGTGTCACAGAGGTCACCCCATGGTTAAGAAGAAGTGCAGTGCACACTGCGGAGTTTCTCTCAGAGCTCCTAGAACCTCCCTCCATACCTAGTGTCCCTCGTCTGCTTATACGAACAACTTCCCATGATTCATGTCTACCGCCCTTCCCAGCTCTGGATGGACAGGTGGGCAGTGACTCAGACTCTGGTGACTCCAGGGGGTGTCTTGGATGCGCTTTCAATGTCGAGCCACGGGTCTGCCTGCACATGTCATTTCTGGGTGCTCATCTAACGCCCTGGGATTTTGTTGCTTTGCGAGGTGTGTGTCGCACTTTTAAAACAACAATTGCTGTAAAAATAGTGTTCAGAGGACAGAGGCGCAGTCATTCCCACACTGATTACCCAGGGTCTGAAATTTTACTAATCTCCCGATTAATTACTCAGAGCTGTCCGCAGTTTTAGTGTCCAGCAAACATAATTTTAGGTGAAGGACCAGAAAAAATCATTTAAACAAGTGTTTCCCAAAATTTTAGCCAAGCATCCCTAATAAAAGCAGCGTTTAAAGCTCGCTACAGTCGGTTACTCTGCTCCGTTCTTTTAAGAATGGCCTGGAAGTGCTGAGGTGATGATTTCACAACCTCAACGGATTGTCTGGTTCGGGCCTTCGGGATAGGCGGGATCCCACAGTTTGAATAGACCTAGGGCGGGTTTCCCGCTGCAGGGGGAGTGAGGGAGTGGCCGGGCATCAGCTCCAACCCGCCCGAACTTTTCCCTGAGCAAAGTCTCCGGCCGCCGAGACCGCACCCCGAGCGCCTCCCTCTCTAGGTCTGGTCTAGCCCGGGGTCCCGGCTGGGGATGGTCGGGTGCTGTCAAGGCATGCCCGAAAGGCAGCAAGGGAAGGCCAGGTGCCGGTGCCGGAGGCCGGATGGCGCGGGGGTTGACGGCCCGCAGCCGTGCGACTCACAGGATGACTCATTGTAGTAGACGCTGATCCGCTCCAGCTGCAGCGCTGAGTCGCCCACAAAGTCTCCAGCTGGGTCGATGCCGTGCTCATCGCTGATCACTTCCCAAAACTTGCGGGGGAACGGCGAAGGGACAGAGAGTCAGTCCGGCAGCTCAGGGAGCCTCCGCCACCCTGGGACACCCCACTCCCCACCCCGGACCCTGCGGCCAGCTCTGTAGAGTCGGCTCCCCCGAGCCCTCAGACGCAGACGCAACCCCTGGATCGTAATCCCGAGTCGGTGCGCTGAGACCCATGGCCGAACCACCGGGGTTGGCCGCAGGAACCTGGGCCCACTCCTTGGGGGCCGCTCTCGAGGGCGCGCCCTTCGGGACCAAGGGCCCACTCTCCGGGTCGGGGACCCAGGGCGCACTCTCCGAAGCCCGCAGCTGGAACTGGTGGCCCACTTCCAGCCGAATCCCGAAGGCCGGCTGTTGGGACCGGTGGCCCACTCTCTGGGCTGGATCCCCGGGTCTGCCCGAGGGGAGACAGGGCAGGCTCTCGGGGGTTCGTTCCCCACCAGGAGTGCGCAGGGTCAACCTGGCTCCGAGGAGCAAGGCGAGGTCTTCCGAGGCCGGCGACACCCACTACCCACCCGCAGGAGCGGAACGCGCGCCCGGGCCCACCTTGGTACCGATCTGGTTCCCGCACTGTCCCGCCTGGATGTGCACAATCTCCCTCATGGCGGGCGCGTCTGCGCTCGGGCGCTGGCTCTTCTGACGGCTGCGTGACTGCGGCCGCCTGCGCGCTCCCGGGACTTGACCCCTCTCTGCTCTCCGCCCTCCACCCCTTCCTTTCCAGCCAATGGCAGTGGGCTGTCCCGCTTGCTGTCCCCGCCCCTTCCCCAAAGGCTAGCGGGCTGCTCCTAGCCCTGGGCTTGTAGTCCCGACAGCTGGAACCCTGGGTGCCGGGCGGGGAGGTGCAGGGTGGACTGCAGGGACTCCCGAGGAGGCGGCAAGGGGAAACCCTAAATTCTCACTGTACCACCTTTTGTTGTCCCCTCGGTGCTGTTGGTACCCGGAGGAGATTGGAACCCGTGGTATTGATCACTTGCTAACCTAGTGAGTTTCAACGCTCCCAGGAGAGCTGAGGGAGCCACCCATAGCCCAGCTGGTGGAAGGCGACCTCTGGGACCCGACGTGGATTCGTTCGGGTGTCTCTCTATCCCTGGCACGCCTATTTTGCGCCTCTCCGCCTGCCTCTCCAGAACCCTCCATAAAGTGACTCCACGCTGTATTTGCCTAACAACAGCCTCCAATTCCTAACGAGCTTGGAAAGCGCTTGGCGAGGGCTGGGCTCGCTCTCACCCTCACTCCCTCACTTTTGAAACAAAACAAAACTGAGCACAGGCGCACAGGCGCAGTGCTGCTGGAGGGAGAGGACTAGGAGAAAAGCGACCCGAAGAGCTTGTCTTTCTAGTCTCATCAAAGGCAAGGGGCCACTCGGAGATGAGGGAGTGCCAACTATGATGCCTTAGGCCGCAAGTTTCTGGTATAATGATGGCTCCCGAGTGTTCTTGACCTCAGCAGATGGCTTTACCACTGCTGGGCATTCTATCATGCCCAGCCCTTCCAGCGGGCAGTCTCATCCTGTTCTCAGATGCCCCCACTAATCATAAAGACTGGTCACTGGCAGGAATGGTAGGCATGTCCTGCCACCAGGACACATAGAATGTTCTGGAATCTCACGGGATGCTCACCAGGCAAAGATCTTACCCAAGGCCAGGGGAAAACACCAGCCAGCAGGTGAAAGTCAGGGTGTCTGTCGGGACTCAGGAACGAGCCCTGGGTAGCTGGGATGACTTGCTTTTCCGTCCTGGTGAAAACACTTGAGTTCTGTGATGACACGCCCTGGACCCCGGGCTCCAGTCGTGTCCTCATTTGCAAACTGAAAGGCTTATCCCGGAGACCACCTGACAGGCTCTCAGGCGCCAGAATTCTTTGGCACCTGAAGCCTGTGCAGCCACTAAAGACTCCCAGGTGTTCCTCCATGAACGCTTCCCGTTGAGGGAATCTGAAAAACTCCTGGGTCCTCCTGAGCCCAGACCAGTCAGAAATGCCACAATGAGGCAGCAGCAAGGCCCGTGATTTGTACTCGTGGTTTCTTTTGAGATCCGTGAAAACTGAGGAAACCCTCGCGTGGAGCTGGGGACGTACTCAGTAGAATGTTGGCCTAGAATGCAGGCAGGAAGCTCTGGGTCAAATCCCTGGGTGTGGTGCTACATGCTTGTATTCCTAGGGCTTGGACATTTGAGATAAGTTTAGCTATCACATTTGAGGCAAACTTGGGCTATATGAGACCCTGTCTCCAAATATGAGAGACAGCCTGGGGCGGGGGTGATGAATGTGGATGAACATGTGTGTCCAGGTACAATCGGCTGGAAAAAAATTGAACCCTGACTGGGAAAATGCCTCCAAAAGATCCATCTGTAGGGCATTTTCATAATGAGTGATTGATGGGTGGGGTCCCTCCTGGGTTGGTGGTCCTGGGATCCATAGGAAAGCAAGCTGAGCAGGCTAGGAAGCAGCGCTGCTCCTCCGTGGCCTCTGTATCACTTCCTGTCTCCAGGTTTGAGTTCCTGCTTTGGCTTCCATCGGTGGATTGTGATTCAAAATACCTAAGCCAAACAAAACCTTTCCTCCCCAAGTTGCTTTTGGTCACAGAGTTTTATGACAGCAATAATAACCCTAAGATATGTATTTACTTGTCTTTGAAAGGAGGCAAAAGGCATCTAAAAATATTTTTCTTCTAGAGCTTTTCAAATGGTTCCAAATTTGGGTATTGTTTTACCCACTGGATCCCTCCCAATCACCCTAGCACTGTTCTTCTGCTTTCTTAGGGTCCCCAGACCTCCCAAAGCAGAGATCTCCACTGATATTCCTGCAGAAGTTGGGAAGAGGCTGCAACCTTTCCCAGGTGCCCTGAAACCCTGAGGCTGAGCCGATGCAGCTCCCTGTTTGGGGCATCAGAACGCTTATCTAGGCTCTTGCTGCACTTGCTCAGTGTAATTACTAGCTCCCAGTAAATGCTACCCTTTCCTCTTGCTTGGGGTGGAGGCAGCCACAGAGGAGCTGTGTAGTTCTGGGGGTGGGTGGAGGGAGCTGCTCTTCATCTTGGTCACTTGAGCGGTTTAAAGGGCACTATCCACTTTTGCTGAGCAAGCCATTTCTACAAGGTGGTCCTGGGCTCTGATTTGAGACTGTGGTTTCCTGTTGGGCTAGCAAGCAGATGCCTGGAACTCTACCACAAGGACTAGGATTCAGTAAGGGACAATGTGACTTACTGGGGTTTCTGGAGGCCGCCCGGCCCCGGCTTACATTGTGGTGGGAGAGGGCAAGAAAATAATGAGACAAACTGCTGGATGCTTTCGTACAAAATTCATAGGATTATCATAACACAAGCAGGTCTCCTAGCAGATGAGGAAAATGGAACCCGGCTTAGACCCCATCATCTTGCTAACCATCGGATGAAAGGACTCTAGCCTATGTCTGAGGCTTGCCTGGGATGCTGAGGATGTGGAGCAAGAACACACAACTGGTATCTAGAAAGCTGGGACCATAACTTATGCAGAGCATGTGCTTTGCCTTAAAAAGGCCTGGGACTTAATCCCTAGCACAACACACTCCTGTACACATGCTCGTGGATGTACACACTCACACACACACACACACACATATATACACACATGCACTCATCACCCACACTTAGTGTCTGGAAAGCAAATCCAAGGAGACTTGGAGCTCAGTCAGGGGGACAGCACTGATAATCTCACCTCCAGTCCCTTCCTCCCCACCCCCAACTCCCCCACACTGGAAAGGGTCTCTCGCCTGATACTGACCATCCTACATCCAGTCCAGGTTTATCCTCCAGCCTCCAGGAGGAAGAAGAGGCCCTGAATGCAGTAAGCTCAGGAATCCTGGGGTCTGGGCTCCTAGCACAGCCTAGAGCAGTGATTAAAGCTCAAGGAGGGCGTTGAGGTGGTGGTGGTTTTATCTTATCTTGGTCTATGACCCTAGGCTACTGCCAGGGGCCAGAGCCTGCTCACCCTACCAACTAGTGTTTAGCAGTGGTACTTTCTCCTGGAACATGGCACCTTCCATAAATCATTATCTGAACTTAATTCTCTGGAAGTTCTCTAGGCCCACCATTGATGTGGGAGTCCCCTCTGTATGCTGTGAATGGTAATTGGTTAATAAAGAAGCTGTCTTGGGCCTGTGATAGGGTAGACCAGAGCTGGGGGGGGGGGGGACACTAAACTGAATGCTGGGAGAAAGGAGGCAGAGTCATGGAGAAGCTGTGGAGCTGCTGCCTGAGACAGAAATGCTGGAACCTTGCCGGTAGGACACAAACCTTGTGGTAAAATATAAAATAGTGGAAGTGGGTTAAATTAAGATGTAAAAGCTAGGTCTGGAAAGATGGCTCAGGGGTTAAGAGCACTGACTGGTCTTCCAGAGGTCCTGAGTTCAATTCCCAGCCACATAGTGGTTTACAACCATTTATAATGAGATCTGATACCTTTTCCTGGTGTGCAGGCGGAGCACTGTATACATAATAAATAAATCTTTTTTTTTACAAAAAAAAAAAAGATGTAAAAGCTAGCCAATAGGCCAAGCAGTGATTTAATTAATACAGTTTCTATGTGGTTATTTCGGGAGTCTGGGCGGCAGGGAAATGAACAAGCGGCCTCCTACTACACACCATGAGGCGCTGTCAGTGAGCACGTGGATGTAGATATGCCCCACTTCAAGTTCATCAGCCTGAATGGCCTGGGGACTAAAGGGCAGCTGCAGAGGCTCACACAAAGTCACAGATGGAGCCCAGCAGCTGCCTGCTGCATGTCACCTGAACGTGTTACACATTTACTCTTTACTTACCTATTCTGAGCCTGGCCTCACACTCAGGATCTCCTGCCTCAGCTTCCTACATGCTGTGATTGCGAGCATGTAGCTGGGCGGTGGGGGTGCAGGCCTTTAATCCCAGCACAAAGGCAGGCGGATCTCCGCGAGTTCGAGGCCAGCCTGGTCTACAGGAGCTAGTTCCAAGACAGCTAGGACTGTTATACAGAGAAACCCTGTCTTGAAAAATAAAACAACCCCCCAAAAAACAAACAAAAAACCAAAACCAAACATGTACCACTATGCCTATACCTTTTATACTTATTTTACTTTTTTTTTTTTCTTGAGTGTAGCCCTGAATGTCCTGGAACTCACTTTTTAGACCAGGCTGAACTCACAGAGATCTGCTTGCCTCTGCCACCTGGGAACTGAGATGAAAGGCGTGCGCCACCACTACCCGACCCTTATTTTTCGCAGTACTGGGGATGGAACAGGGGCCTCAGCTGAGCTGAGCAGATGCTACCACAGAGCTGCACCTTCAGTGCGCCTGCTCCATTTTAAAGGAGTTTTTTTTAATTTTTTTATTTATTTATTATGTTTACAACATTCTGCCTCGATGTATGCCCGCACACCAGAGAAGGGCGCCACATCTCAGTACAGATGGTTGTGAGCCACCATTTGGTTGCTGGGAATTGAACTCAGGACCTCTGGAAGAGCAGCCAGTGCTCGCTCTTAACCTCTGAGCCATCTTGCCAGCCCCATTAAGGGAGTTTTGTATCAAGGAATTTTAGTTTCTAATAAAAGCAGTAACAACAACAAAAATAAACAAACAAAACAAAACAAACACTTAATTGACAAATGGTTATGTATGTATATGTATCACGTTATATTATGTATAATGATCTAATGATCAAAGCAGCCGGGAACAGCAGGACATGCCTTTAATC